ACCCGCAGCTAAGTCTCTCCCTCTCATCCCATCTTCATGCCACTAGTTCTCAACGCTCTTTATTCTTCGCCCCCACCTATTCTGTGGCGGTTCCTTCGAGATTTTTTTTACCGGAACTGTAACTGTGGGCTGATTATTGGAGTCATTAGATTAAAGCGATAAACCAAGAAGATAAACGGAAAATAGAGCGATCCTGTTGGTTGGACGGGTGGTTGTTGGGGTGAATTATGGACTAACAGGGTCTCTAGTGGGTTGCTGTACAACTATTTTACAAAATATCTATGGTCGTGGTCGAAACTTTTGCCAGTATCACCACGTTCAGGTAATTTTCAAATAACTATTCTCTTGCACTCTGTTGTCAAATAACTAAAACCGTGGCCTATGTTTATATAACACTAAAGAGAAAATCAGCTGAAAAATTTTGAATTGCAATGGGTTCTTCAAAATGAAAATTTCCGGAGAAAACCATTGGAACCACTTTTAGAACATTAAATTTTGTATCAACGGAGTTATAAGCGTTTAGACTTTTCGAATTTTGTCCGACTTATTCTATCGACTCGGTCCACTGTGCGCCAGTGGGTCGATAAATAATAATTTTGTTTTAGCATTGATTCGCGCTCTTCTCTATAAGTTGAAAATATCCTGGTCCTTGGTACCGCGACCATCCAATCCCGCTCCCGTATCCGTGCCAGTGGCGAGTATCGATTTTCCCCCATTTGAAGCCGTGGTAAAAAATCGATCATTAAGATGTTCGTTACGAACTCTCTATTTATCGATCCTTTTCCTCAGGTTTAAATGACCGATCAATCGATACATCGCAAAGCGTGCCACGCCACTGTCGGTGCCTACTCGCACTGCACCTCGCCTAATTGACGCCGGAGTGATATGTTCGTCCTCAGGGACTCGGGTCACCAAAGGAAAAAACGAGAGGAAAACATGAGAATAAAGGAAAAACAATAATTTTGATGTATAAGTCTCCATGGAAATGTTTTGAATTTATTCATATGGTGAGTCTGATAGGATTGATCAGTGCGCAAAAGCTTCCTCCACAAATAAATTAAACATTGATTTTTTTCCCGAGCAAAAATGCGATTTTCACAGTGTGCTTACGAGTCCGGAAAACCGGGAGTTGTCTGAAAATTTCATCCTGTCCGGACAGTTAGGGAAGAGTCCTAGAGATCTTTGAAGAGGACCGGACATTTCTGCAAAGACTCGAAACAATCGTGAAATTCGATATTTGAAAGGAAAACATCAGCACTGTCCACAAAATCAGACTGAATCTTACGATCAGCCACGTAAGATCTTCAATTAACTCTCAAATTTTCATACGGCGCTCTTCCTTAGCACGCCAGAATAGGATTCCTCCATTTTTCTGTTGTCCCCTCTGTCTACCGCTTTGTCTAACAATTTCAATATAGCCCGTTGCAAGGCGGCCGGTACTGTTTGTCGTAAGTACGAGCTTTCGCCGGAACTTGGTGAAGAGGTTAACGTTACTCTGGTAGCGAGCTATGAGTTTGACGAGGCGCCAGACATCCACGTTCAATCATCAAAGTGTCATTAATTACCCTCAAAATCAGCGACGAAGAAGGAACATTTACTCGCGTGTGTTGCGGAAGTTGGCGCGCGACCGCGCGAGAGGCTTTGCTCGCCGTGTGCGAGAGTGTCGAATAGTTTGGGGCGCTCCTCTTTGTGTTGGGTGTAATTGCCTCAACTCTCAAGCCGCCCAAGTTTGATTTTGAGTGTCCCACTTACTCAGTGATGTCAAACTTGGCAAAATCCTCTCATTAATATGGCCGTTTAGAGGTTAAAGGCTCACGAAAGTAGCAGCATCAAGTCGTTTTCCGCACAAAGGAACGTAACTCAATTCCAAGGTTGCGCAATTGACTTAAATAATTCGATTTCCTACGTGAATAAACCATCATAATTCTCCTTGAAAATTAGTCTGATTTTCGCTCGAGATCAGAAGAAAAATTAGCAAAATGTTCAGTTTAAAATTTCCAAAATTACACCGGTAAAAATGCACTTTGCGCGGGGAAATTTGGCAACATGGAAGTGCAGTTACGTTCTTTCTTCAAGAAAACGACGAAGTAAGTTGGTAGAAAGTGCAACATGTAACACAAATTTATCTTCGTCTTCCCAGTTCAACACAAAATGTTATTTAAGCCCAATTCGCACTATCAAACTCTCCATCTGACATAATTTAACGGAAAGTTGGACGCAAAAAAATTTGATTCAATTACCGTTGGAGCGTGATATCATCATATCGGCATTCGGGTATTTCCGTCAGCCTTCGGTTCGCGACGATACGGCTTTGGCTGATGTCGGTCGGAAGATTTCGTTCCAACGCTCCTTTCAACTTTCCATCTAATTGCCACACAGTGGATTGAGCCACTTAGAGAAGTCTGACATGAAATTTTTGACTAAAATTGTAAATTTTGACCCTTATTCCGTCACGTTGTAAATTTCACGAGGAAACCAATGGAACCACTTTTAGAACCTCAAAGCTGTGTATAAATGGAGTTATAAGCGTTTAAAGTTTCGAAATTTTGTCCGACCTCTTATATTGACTCGATCCTCCGTGTACCGCCGCCAATTAGAGGAGAAGTCGAATGAAAAGTTGAATGTGACGTCCTATTCAAGTTTCCCTTCAATTTTTCATCATTTTTTTTTTTTAATTTTTTTGTTTGATAGCAATTTTATTATTCAATTCACAATTTTGTTACATTATCAGACAACAATTATGTCCGAAATTCAGTAAAGGTGCATGTTTACATATATTTTGTTATGCCGGTAACTATTACTTAAATCCAAATGATTATAGGACATTTCGTCAACGATTTTTTGTCTGCGCACCTGTTTTTTCCAGTAATTTATGTCCACGTTTTTTTCGGCACGGGAGTTTTGGTCCACGTCCCAGTTGAGACCCAAAGTCAATTGGCCCACATGTAAATACAAACGACAATTGCTCACGACGTTTTTGGATAAAAATGTATAATGTCTTGGAAGAATGAGGGTTTGCTTGTTTTTTTGTTTTGTCTGTTTGGTCCAACGGAGAATAATATATAGTTGAGAGTTTTGGTAAAAATGGGGGAGCGTCAATTCCATGAGACAAAATTCACTAAAACTCTCTACACCCCTTTGGTGTAACAGAACTTAATTATCTTTCAAGAAATTCCCACCTGATTATACCTGAACCGGATAAATCTCCATATTTGCCTTTGCTAAAGGCTCTCAGATTTTTCCTGTGTACGATAAGTATCTTGATTTATTTTGCGAGGAAAGAACTGTACTTTTAAAGGATGTCTGTCATTCTTAATACGTTCAATTTCGTATGATACCGTGCAACACCTCTGTTGTGAAATAGTTGCTTCAGGCACTGCCGCACGGTGAGCGGGCGGCCAGCGCGAAACGCGCATCGGCGCCTACAAACCTAAGTGGATACTTCTAGCATTGTGCAGTGCGTGAAGTATCCACTTAGGTTTGTAGGCGCCAGTGAGCCTCTCGCACTGGCAGCACGCCGCTCCGCTCTGTTAGGCTTTAATATTTATACTCGCATGGTCAGCGTTTTTTAACTCATGATTTTGAAACGTTTGCACTCTCTGCCTTTATTATTCACATTTAAATCGATGGGAAAAAAATATGTATCAATTTATCAATGGAGAATAATAGTGTAACTAGCTGCTCCGGACGCCCTACGGGCGCCCTCCACAGCTAGCAATGGTGGTGCAGTACCTTAATTGGAATCGGAGCAATTAGTTGAATCTACTTAATAATGATGAATAAAATATCTGTAACAATACGTGTTGTTAGCAATACGCAATACTGCAGTTAATAAGTCAGGGTCAGTCAAACCGCAGAGAATAAGATGCCAGGATATCAAGAAGCTGTGAGGCGGAGCAGCCGAGGGATGGCGAAGGAATGTGGGTAGCGAGTGACAAACTGACGATGACGAACGACGATGCGACCCAAACTTCCTTCTTTGAGGTTGGTGGAAGGAGAGCTATACGAAAGAAAACGGAGATAGCCGAAAGAACGTGGTGGGAGGGGTGGCTGAGACCCTAGAGGGGGTATCTAGGGACGGGCAAGCAGGTAGCGGCCGGATGACCGCTCGAAACAGCTGAACTTTACTCGTCGATAAAAGTAAGAAAATTTGAGAAAATCGAAAAAACAATTACAGCCTGCAAATCTACAGATCAGAAGCTTTCATTTAAAAAAAACCCCATGCAAATCGGTCCGATGGTTCTCTCAAAGTTAATGCCCCAAAATGCGGACTTTAGTCTGAATAAATGGGAGAAAATTTGAGCCCAGCTAAACTTCACTCGTTGATAAAAGTAAGACAATTTGAGAAAATCGAAAAAACGACCACAGCCTGTAAATCTACAGATCACAGGCTTTCATTTAAAAAAAACCCCATGCAAATCGGTTCGGTGGTTCTCTCAAAGTTAACGTCCAAAGATTCGGACCTCCGTTTTAATGCATCGAAGACAATTTTAGAAAATTATGGGAGAAAATTTGAGAAAATCGAAAAAACGATCACAGCCTGCAAATCTACAGCTCAGGGGCTTTCATTTAAAAAAAATCCCATGCAAATCGGTCCGGTGGTTCTCTCAAAGTTAATGCCCCAAGATTCGGGACTTTGCATTTTAATATAAAGGATGTGTGTTTTTTAAATATTGGTGGTTCCGTGTCAAATTTAATGATTTCCAAAGCATTTTAATTTTTTCTTTTACATTTCGTGCTTTTATTGTGCTGTATCTCTATTGCCATGCCCGGGACCGTCCGGACGGACACTCCTTCGGGATTTTCATCAAATTGTCGTTTTATCGCGTCACACTGACGTTTTATCACACTATCCGACTTTTCGTTGCACTCAAGAGTCGAATGAAAAGTTTGATAGTGTGACTTGGGCTTCACGCCATGTTACACTATTGTTACAGTGTATGTCTGTGTAATGGTCGCGATGTATGACTAATGATTTGTGTTTTGGTTCTGTTTTTTAGGATCTTCAAGCGGAGATCGAGAGCCACAGGGATGTGTTCTCGAGCCTGAGCGGAAGCGGGCGGAGTCTGTTGAGCTCATTGGGCTCCCAGGAGGATGCGGTCATGCTCCAGAGGAGACTCGATGAGATGAACCAGCGCTGGCACCACCTCAAGGCCAGGTCCATGGCCATCCGGTAAGTCCACTCCTCCAGTCACTCGCAAAAATATTTAATGTCGATTCCACAGGGTGGCAAAATGGAGATGTTGCATGTGTGAAGAATTTGCGATTTTCGATTTTCATTCCTCTGTAAAAGTTCGCGAGAAACACGATGGTGCCACTTAGTAGCGTATTTCTGTCAATCGGAACTATGTGGATTATGACGTGAGCCCTGTTATGCGTATATTCTTACGGGTCTCAGGGCTCATGTCTTAACGCACATAGTTTCGTTTGGCAGAAACGCGTCCAATTAATAGTCAAAATCCCCTATTCTCCTTGTGAAGAATGGAGATGTTGCATGTGTGAGGAATTAGCGATTTGAATGTTGATTCTTATGTAAAAGTTGGCGAGAAACACGATAGTTTTCTCTGAAATCAACTCCCAAGCTAAAAAAAGGTCTCAAGTTGGGGCCAAAATGGAGGGGATATCCCACGCTATCCTGAGAGTCCACCTCTACATCAAGACAAACTCTCCATGCAAAGATAGGGAGCAAACACATTAGCAGGGTTGTCCTGTTTTCAGTTTTAGAGTCCTCAAATAAAGTGACAGCCCTGTCAATGTATTTGCTCCCTATCTTTGCATGGAGAGTTTGTTTTGATGCAGACGTGGACTACATCAAACTAACGAACAAATCGCTAATTACTCACACATGCAACATCTCCATTGCGAAAAGAAGTTCACTTGATGCGTTCAGCGTGATTCTCGCGCGACTTTAGTCTTGAAAAATCTGACAAGTTACTAAGTTAAGGGTGAAAAACCAGGGAAGTTGAAACTTTCGAAATCGTATCGAACCGGGCCCAAATCAAGCCCACCCTCAAGGGGTCTTTACGCTACGAAAATGCGAAACTTGGGGCGTGGGTAGGTGGCGAGCCGGAAAAGAACTCAGTCTTGCTAAGGAAAAACACCGTATGAACATTCAAGAGTTGCCAAATTTCCTTCAATAAAATGTTTATTTTTGAGGAAAGATATGAATATTCCTCCTTGAAATTTTCCAGGACTTTACGTGACATTGCGAGCGAAATCATCTGAAAAATCGGAAGGAAAATATTCATTAGTTCACCAGAAAATTCGTGTTTTATCAAAGGAAATTTGGCAACGCCTGAAGGTTCATACGGCGTTTTTCCAGCGCACGGCAGAGTTAGAATACGGAGACTCTGGAGGGACTTTGGGAGATTAGCGAGTCTGAATATGGAACGAATCCGGAGGAGAGTGCAGCTGCACCCGGCGCCGAACTGGGGCCCGGAATTTCCGCTATAAATATAAAGAGGACTTAAGGAGATGGGCCCGGCCCTGGTTTACCGTTGCCTTTCGGGCGGTTTCGGCGCAGTCCCCACCTGGATCGCCGCGCTGGACGCCCCCCACTCGCAGCTTTAAAATCACCGCCGCGCCACACGCCACATGCGACCATCGGCAAATTTTGCGCCAAGTTTTTAGCCGGACGTATAAATCTTCCACCCCGTCCTTGGCTCGCTTCGTACGCTCAGGAAAAACGTGGCGCAGTGGATCGAGTCAGTAGGAGAGGTCGGACCAAATTTGGAAACTTAAAACGCTTATAACTTTATTCACTGGAAAAAAAACACATTGGATCTAGAGTCCAGACTCTTGCAAACATTGACAAGAAAAAATACTCTTGATTCAATCAGATTTTTGCTTAAATCGATAGGAAATCGCCGCTCAAATTAAGAAGCTTGGTTCTTGATTTAAGCAAAAATCCGATTGAATCAAGAGTATTTTTTCTTGTCGATGTTTTTAAGAGTCTAGACTCTAGATCCAATGTGTTTTTTCCCCCAGTGTTCATATAAACTTTGAGGCTCTGAAAGTAGTTTCATTGGTTTTCTTGGGAAATTTTCTTCTAGTATCACTCCTTGAATGTTAAAATGTGACGAAATAAACATCAGAATTTGCAGTTTTCGTCAAAAATTTTATGTCTGACCTCTCGAATTGACTCGATCCACTGTGCGTGGCAAGGCGAGCAGACTCCACTTCATTAAGTATATCAACATAGGGAGAGCCCAAAATGTCGGTAATTTTGAGGTTAGGTCATGGAGCTTTCAGGGCCCAATAGGGCAGCCATTAATTGAAATTATTCGGAGTGATTTACTATCACAATTCTTAAGACCCGTCGCACTGTGGATGATTGAATCAAATAGAGAGGTCGGACATGAAATTTGTTACTATAACTGCAAATTTCGATGTTGATTTCGTCACATTTTAAATTATAATGGGTGCTTCTGAAAAAAAAATTACTAGGAAACCAATAGAGCCACTTTTAGAACCTCAAAGTTTTGTATAAACGGAGTTATAAGCGTTTAAAGTTTCCGAATTATGTCCGACCTCTCCAACTGACCCGATCCCCTGTGCGTCGCGTCGTTTGCAAATCACGTATTCGACTCAGTTTTTGCATAATTTACTCATTTTTGCGCCAGGACGCTCTTTCATGAAAATTCTTGGCCATTTTGGTTTGATATAGAATCTGAAGTTTGGCGGCAGCATTTTTTCTTTCACACACAGAGTGAATTCTGGGGTATAAGAAAAATTCGATTTTTTAACAAGCTTTTTGGGCCACAATTCTGATGGAACAAACATAAAATATACTCAAGACAAGGAGCACACGTTGAAAAGGGAGTGTTCCGAAGTATACACGGATGCGCGAAAGTAGAAAAATAAAAATTTGAATAAAAAAAGGGAAGCCTCAGCGTGGGTGGGGGAACAGTTAAAAATCCAAGCCTATTGCGACAGAATTAATTGAAAAAGGCAAGTCCCGCAGAGGTTCTCAACCCAACCGCCCCCCCCCCCCNTGCGCTATGCTGCCATTCTTAGGAAGAATGTCATTTGAAAATCCGGGTTTGGATGTTGCGAAATTTCTATTAGGTCCCTTCCCTTGCAAATGGTCATTAATACTGCCGTGCTATGGAAAAACGCCGTATGAGCCTTCAGACGCTGCCAAGTTTCCTTCGATAAAACCCGAATTTATTAGGAAAATAGTGAATTTTTTCTCCCAAAATGTCTAGATAATTTTGTACGCAATTTTAATCTAAAATATCTGAAAATTTCAATGAAAAACACGCATGAAAGGCGTCAAAAATACTTGTTTTATTAGGGGAAATTTGGCAATTCTCGAATGTTCATACGACGTTCCTCCTTAGCACGACAGAATACAGTAATAGATTGATAGAAATGAGGGGCTTGGAAGACAAGTGAAATAAGTGCAGTTTTTTAAAAAATGAGGAATCAATGATCTGAACTAAAACCAGTCCTACTGCATATTCTGTGAAAAAATTGCACCCAAATTCCAATTTCTAAGTATCAAAAAGTCAGTTGGAACTTTCTTTATGCTTCAAAGATCCATGTGATACCGAAACTTCAGACACATACTTCTCAAAATAGCGAATCCTGCTCTCATGCGCCTTGTCCACCAAGCCTCTCAAATCTGAGATATTTTAACGCCAAACTGCGAAAAAAAGTCTCTTGGTTTCGGAGTTACGGAGTTAAAAAAAACACTCTCGAATCAGTTGGACTTTTGCTTGAATCGAGAGCCAAGTCTCTTAATTTTAGCGGATTTCTTCTTAATTCAAACAAAAATCCAATTGAATCAAGTCAATTTTTTTGTCAAATTTTTCAAGAGTCCCGACTTTACATGCAAGAGCCTCTCTTTCAGGGCAATTTCAAATGAAATTATACACTTTTTTTTTGGGTTGATGTCTGTCGTAAGGTTCTTATCGACCGTAGAACAGGGATTTCTAGTACTTAAATTTTTGTGTAGTATTTATAGGCCTAGATAAAAAGTTTGGCTGCTTGATACGTATACAACAGAGTTACTCCCCCGTATCTGTTTCCGTGCGGACGTAAACAATTTTTGGGGAAAATAGGGCTCGAAAAATACAATGAACTTCGCACTGCCTGCGCATTGTTGATTGAAAAAGTTTGAAAAATGTTGCAATTTTGTTGAAGTTTACAGCTGACTGTAGGTTGTCATTTAAAAACTATGAGTCTGTCACTTCTCTCCGTAAAAGCATAACGATTACGAGCGCACGTTCAGGCATTTTGAGCGCTCCTGAGTTTGATTCCACGCTCAGGAACAGCACTTTTACCCCATGCCTTTCGCTCAACCGACCGTGCTACCCGCACCTCCCCCCTCCCATCCTCACCCCGCGTGGCTTTCGCTGCATACAAGTGCGTCGATGCTTAAACCGTATGTGCAGAGATGTTCTTGTTCTGGTTTACAACGGAGGTAACTTGGCGAGAACCTGTGATTATGTGGCAGAGAATGATAATGATGGTAATGTCAAGACAGGAGGCTCTCGTGCTTAGGTAGAACACCGTATGAACTGTGAACACTCGAATGTTGCCAAATTTCTCCCAAAAAATACACGGGGAAAAAAACTTCGTGCGTGGGACCCGAAGTTTAGGTCATATGGATCTCTGAAGTTTCCGGATTGAGCATCTGAACACTTAAGGTCTAGCTGTCGAGGTTCGGATCACACATCAGAAACTTCAGTTCTTACATCTGAAGTACTTCGGTTCTCACATCTGAAGTACTTCAGATGTAAGAACTGAAGTACTTCAGATGTAAGAACTGAAGTGTTAGATGTCAGACCTGAACTTCGGCAGCTAGACTTTAAGTGTTCAGATGCTCAATCCGAAAACTTCAGAGATCCATATGACCTAAACTTCGGGTCCCACGCTCGAAGTTTTTTCTCCGTGTACGAATTATGTGGAAGATTTGGAAATTTCGGCATTTACTGTCATGCTATGGAAGAACGCCGCATGAGCCTTCAGACGTCGCCAAATTTTCTTTGATGAAATACAAATTTTCAGGGCATTCTGTGAACGTTTTTTCTTCCAATTTTTCGGAAAATATTAATCTCGATAAGCTTTAAATTTTCCGAAAATTCGAAGAGAAAATATTCACAACTCTCCTTCGAAATAAAGGTTTTGCTTGAGGAAATTTGACAACTCTCGAATGTTCTTACGGCGTTCTTCCTTAGCACGGCAGTATCGTTTTCAGATTCGCCATTTTTTAGTTTCTTGTGTATTTAAAGAAAAAATATTCACGATATTCTACAAAAATAAATATCGTTAAGTAAATTTTAGCAACATTTAATTGTTTTTTTACCGGTCATCTTTAGCCATAAAGTGTTATAGTGCTCTATAGTGCCGTGCTGAAGAATAATGCCGTTTGTATGTTTAGGCAGACGCTGCCCAACGTTTTTGTTAAAATGTGACTTTTCTGGAAGACTTGTTTTTTATTTTCCCTGGGAGCTGTAAGAAATTTATTTTCTCCATTTAATCTCGCGTTTTTGTAAAAATCAAGGAATGCCGTGTATTGTTTTTTCCGTAGAAACCCAAGCCAGGTCAACTTGACCTGAGGCTTGATGAAAACACGTCCCCGTCGGTTGAATGGGGCCGGTACTCACGAGCTTCAGATATAGGTCTGTAAATACATCCTAAATGAAGAATCAAAGGTTGGATTTAGGAAAAAGAAAAATAAAGAAAGAAAGAAAAAATCAATGATATCATAACCGAAGAAAGAAGAGATGTTTTCGGGCCTTGCAAAACTTGTCTCCCAAATCAAAGCAACACCTAATTTGCAGTGTAGAGGGGAACATTGCGAGTTCACGCTGCGCGCCATCGCGCCTTCAATTTTGCAGACGCAACACGGACATCCATCGAGGTCGAATAGTTGTATCTCTGCGCCGTCATCATCGCGCGTCCTTTTTCTTGCTCGTTTCCGATTGTCTTATTTGTAATGGTGCTTCAAGAGCTGCGTGAGCAACCCAGCCGAACCAGATTAACGTGAGGCAAAATAGGGAGCAACTATCGTCAAGTTAGGTTGAAAAATGAAATTTTAAACTCTCGACGGGAAACTTCTTCTAGTATTAATAGAAAACTTTGCGAGCCTCAAGAAGGCATAAGATCATATTTCAACTGTCTCGAGAGCCGTTTTGAATCCCGAATATCATAAATTGAAATTTTGAATAGCTTTTGCTTGAAATTAATTTTTTTTAAAATTGCCAACTTCAACTATTCAGAGGGAATTTTTAGCGTCACTCGTATCTATTCGATGTTGGATGGTTGAATGGTCGGTAAATACGTTATTTGAAGATGCACTGGGAAAAAAAACACATTGGATATAGAGTTCAGACTCGTGAAAACATTGACAAGAAAAAATACTCTTGATTCAATCGGATTTTTGCCTGAATCAACACGAAATCCGCTAAAATTAAGTGGCTTGGTTCTTGATTTAAGCTAGATTCTGATTGAATCATGAGTACTTTTTCTTGTCGATGTTTTTAAGAGTCTGGACTCTAGATCCAATGTGTTATTTTTCTAGTCTGCCTTAACCAAACAAAGTCATTAACACTTTAAAAAAGGCAGATCAATACAGAGATAGAGGGTACCTCTCTAACGAGTGTCTGTATACCTGCAATTTCAATCCGTCGTGGAATTGTGACCGATCCTCGTACCCCATTCTCTAAGTTAGAATGACAGCCGAAACACTGATCAATCAAATAAAACCGTAGGCCTCATCTGAAGATCCATCCTCCCCTCTCCTCGCTCATAGTTTTCTCCGCTTTTCTTTCATCCTCCGTAGCCATTCTTTAATTCGACAAAATCACATAACGTCTTGCCTCAAAGCATTCATTTTTCTTTTATTCCATCTGCTTCTAAATCCTACTTATGCTTTCAACGTCTTAACGTTTATCTAATGATTTTTTCTACTTGCTTGGACTCGGTTGCGCGCATAACGTGTGGGAATAATATTTCGCTAATCAAAACTGCAGTTATTTCGACAGGGTTTTTGCAGTGTTTAAGTTCCATTCAGTTACGTAAATTAGATGAAATGTCCTAAAAATTAGCATGTCAATTCTGTGCGATGTGTGTTCGGAATTTTAAGTTTTGTTGTTGGAAAACCAGATCTTTCATAACCGATTATATCCAATTTAAGAATTTTCTTTTGTCACTCAACTTTGCTTCCTCATGGGTCATCTTTGAAGAAAATATTATAAAAGCGCATATTTTTTTCTTCCTATCCAGTTTGTTTTTCCTTTTCTCTATCTTTCTCTGTTTTTCTGTGCTTTCCCTTTTTTCTTTCCCATCGCCTTTCCTCTGTCTCATTTTTCATTTGGATTTTTTTATTTTTTAAGTGAATTCTGTATCCTCGTTGTAACCTCTTCCCATTTATTTTTAATTTTTCTATTCGTCACAAAATTCTACCCTCTTCGTCCCAAAAGTCAGGTCGTAATTTGAACTGAGTTTCTTGCCTAAGCTTTTGTAAACCTCCATTACCTTCTTATTTTACAATTTTTTTTCCAAAATACTTCCTGCTCGTAACAATCTCTCTGGTCTTGTAGTTCCTACGTCAAACTTTCTCTCAACTTTAGAAGTTTAATCAAACATTTCTAATTCTGTTGCAGGAACCGGTTGGAGAGCAACGCTGAGCACTGGAACGCTCTCCTACTCTCCCTCCGTGAACTGGTTGAGTGGGTCATCAGGAAGGATACTGAGCTTACTGGACTTGGTCCGATTGCAACTGACGTAAATGCTTTACAAAAACAACAGGTACGCATTCTTTTACGCAGTTTCCGAGTATGGATCGATTATCCTAACGTATTCACCAACCGTACGTTCGGATAAACAAAAATTCGCAGAGTATCGCAAGTTACCGCCGATTAAATTTTTATTTTGGCAGGAAATGTTTCTTTTTTCTATCAATGGTTTTTAAAAACTTGTCGAAAGGTTCAGAACAGTTCCCAAGAGTCCTTGCATTTTCATCTGAAAATCCCTCGAAAACAGAATAGATTCTTTCTTGCTACATTGTCACCAAGTTGTCACAGAGGCGGATCCAGCAATTTGGCAACACCGGATTGCCTCCATTTAAACCTATGTTAAATAATCGATTCTTGTCGAAGCACCAGGTCCCGCCAAGAATCGATACATATCCATGGGTTTAATTGGAGAAGAACGATGTTGCCACTTTGCTGGATCCGCCAATGGCTGTTACCATGCACCTTGTCATCGTGCCTCGCATCATTCGGAACAACCGCATTTTGACGGTGTAAGTCGGTTTGCGACGTCGCAGACTTCCTGTCATACTTTATTTTTTAAACGGAAAACTACTCAACTGCAATTCTCTGCAACTGCCATAAATTTTTCTTCTCCGTGCGAAGAAAATCCCGCAAAAACTTCAAGGAATGATGTCAATTTGTTCTCCTTTAAAAAAATAACATGGAGGCGGAGATTTTCAGACACCGCAAACGAGATATGCGATTGCGGGCTTACGTCGTCGATTTTCTTTCTGAAGGATCATAAGGGGAGGGGGAGGGTCTGAACATTGCCACGGTTGCNCGGATCGCAAATCTGCTGAATGTCACTAGGGATGAAACTTACTGCATGAATCATCACAAGTTTGTTTGAGACCTCAATACTTTATTCCATTCCGTCACGTACTCCGTTGTAAGGGAAAGAATTATTGGTAGGTGGAGGTGTCCTTTCTCAGTTTAAAATTGAAAATAGTGGCTTTATTTGACAGTCTTCCCTCTCAATAACAACATTTAAGGCGAGATAAACGGGGAAAAACATCGTGTTCAAGTTGCTCAAGCTTGTAATACAATTACTGAAAAATTAAAAAATTAGAAATTCTTTGTGTGCACTAGAAAGAAAAACACATTGGATCTAGAGTCCAGACTCTTAAAAACATCGACAAGAAAAAATACTCTTGATTCAATCAGATTTAAGCTTAAATCAAGAACCAAGCCTCTTAAGTTGAGCGGAGTTCCTTTTGTATTAAGCTTAAATCTGATTGAATCAAGAGTCCTTTTTCTTGTCAATGTTTTCAAGAGTCTGGACTCTAGATCCAGATGTGTTTTTTTTCCCCCAGTGTGCAAATTCTTTGATGAATATAACAGGAGATTTTACCTGTTCATATAAAGGTGCGAAGAACCCGACGACAGCTATGGCTGTGCTACTTTGTGACCTCAGTTTTCTCGCGCGCTTTTTCGCCGAAGGGCAAAAGATCACGATGTCTCGATTCTTCTTGGCTCAGAAGCGTTCGATGGTACTTAACGTGCGGAATGTCTCTCTCAAAACCCTCGGTTCCCCGCCCGAGCTGGAAATTGTCTTAATTAAAACGCCAGAATACCAATCGAATATAATGAGCCACTCGACTCAAATGAATATTCATTTATTCATCGTAGGTATCGTCAATTGAAATTCATGATACGTTATGGATCCCTTCCATCTTCTCAATTCAAGAATCGGGTCACTCGTCATCAGATTAGATAGATTTTCAAATATCGATAGTGATTCTAGTACTTGGACAACGTATCTCCGGAAAGCCGATTTTTCAGGGAAACTGGCTTCGTCCGTAATATCTGATGGTAGACAAGGAATAATTTTTGAAGACAAGCAACAATATCATAGCGACGGTGTAACTTACACCGTGTAAGTCGGCAATCACATAACTCGTTTGCGGTATCGAAAAATCTCTGCCTTTATGTTATTCTTTTAAAGGAGAACAAATTGACATCATTCCTTGAAGTTTTGCAGAATTTTCTCCGCACAGAGGAGAAAAATCAGGCCGTTGAGCAGTTTTCTGTTGTTCCGAGTTCCGAGCAACAATCCAAACCGAAACATGTTAACTCTCACTTTGAAAAAGTCATGGCATATCGGCGTTTCTTTTGCCCATCCCGGTATAACGTGTCCATTAGTCTTTGATCAGGGTTGAAAAATTTCATGAAAAATGAAATATTGAAATTTCAGAAACGTATGAAAGATATTGAAAAATGCCGGTTCCTTTTCATGTTTCGCAAAATGTTAAAATTGTGACTTCCTTCCATTATTGTGTGTTTGAAAGCGGGTTGCATACTCTAGCCCCTGAAAAAAATGAAATGTTACACAGCCGTGAAATTTCATGAAATATTTCACTGACATTTCCAACCTCTCATTTCTTTCTTACGTTTCATTCCACCCTGTCTTCGATTCCTCGCTCCAGACAGGAATGTTGAAGATGCCGACGAGTAGTCACGAAACTTTGGTTTTGTTACAGGATGATTATCGCGCTTTCAGGCGGCAACTAGAGGACAAGAGGCCGGTCGTCGAAAGCAACTTATTCAGCGGGAAGCAGTACATAGCTAGTGAGCCTCCGCTCTCGGATACTAGCGATCAGGAATGTAAGTTTTTCCTATCATACCACTCACCTCACACTACCAGGGTGTCTACAAGTCCGGAAATAGTACTGATTTTTTAAGGACGTTCCGGAAGTACTGAAAAAGTGCGGAAATTCCGTAAAAAGGTCCGGATTTTTTTTTTAATTTTGTGTCATTTTTGTCACAATTTTCACATTTTTGAAATTTTTCTAATTACGTCAAATGGATGTACTGAAAAAGTACGGAATTTTTCTGTTGGAGGAGGTACTGAATTTCTTGAGAATGTACTAAAAAAGTACCGTAAAAGCACTTATTTTTGATCAGCCTGTTTTAGTAGACACCCTGCTCTACAATCATTGTCCTACATTCAGTATTAGAGTAGTAAAATTTTATGAAATTCATGTAAACTGAAGTTTGATGTTCCGAATCCATCGAATTTTCTCAAAATAGCAATAACTGCACTTATGCGCATTTTCTTCAAAGCCCCTCAAGTATAGCAAGTCTCGAGTCTGAATGGTTGGATTCTGTCAGACTCGACTCAAAACTGATCTATGATAAACACCGTATTTGTAAAGCAAAAAAGTAGAGCACTGAATAAATTATTCTGGATTTTTTAGTTTCTTTTTTTTTCGTAAGTGATCAGTGAAGCTGCCGATAGTTCATCCATATCAGAAAGGTAAAGAAAGGGAGGGTGTGGATTAAAAAACCACAGAAAAAATATGCTTGGNTGCGGGAAGGAAAAGTTGCAGGTCGAACCGTTATCGTTGGGGTCTGACAGGAGAGCCTTAGGCAGAATCTTACGCGGACCCGATGAAACTTTACATTCTTTACAACCTGAGAAGACGTGGATTGCCTGATCGTAGGAAAACCCCGTTTTATGAATCTTTATCCTATAGAAACAATTGCCCTTTATTTTTTTTATTTTTCAATTAAGAAAGAACTTCCAAAAAATCATTGTAAAAAGATTATTCAAAGAGAGGGTGAGTATTAGGTACGTGAAAAACTTTCAATGTTTACTGATTAGGAGATCATTTTTTATACATTATTAACGAGTAACGTAATTTTGTCATAATTTTTTCAAATACATTGTTTCTTTTTCGATTATTTAAATACGTGTGAATATTATGTAAATCTTCGTGTAACGCAGAATGATCGAAGTTGGAGAGATCTCAAGCCTCTCAAAATTCGTAGAAAATGACGTTTTTCAACAAAAAAATTGTAGACTGAAATGATAGTTTCCGCTTCCTCTGCTTGCTGACCTGTGTATTGTTGAACTGGAATTTTAAGAGGTGATTCACCTTCAAAAATCTTTGAATATCGTTTTTACATTCAGATTTCAATAGTGAGAATAAGTCCAAAGGAATTCTTGACCGCAGCAGACTCTGAAATTCGTTCTCTATCGATTTTATTTGTTTCAAAGAAAATTTTCAATGAACAAATGAAAATAAAGAGACCATAGATATGGTCTTCTCGGCAAACTTTGAATGAAATCGAACAGATAGATTCTGAGATATCGCTGTACACAGATTTGGGGGACGCCTGACGGACGGACACACATTTTTTCAAGTATGGTTATTTTGACTCCTGGGACCTTAAAACGTCTAGAAATGATGAAATTTCTACTCCCCCCCCCCTTGGAGGATGTCAATACTTCCTCTACCCTAGGGTAGTGAGAAAGTGAAAATCTACGTATGCAGAAAAAACATAGTTTCGGAACTACCTGTATCGCAGTTACGAAAGTGACCACTTTTCCAATCATCTTCCATTTTTATGAGATTATCACTAAGCTTTTTTACAAAATGTCCAGAGTAAATTCTCGTCGAGGCATCGCAAAATCTCTTGAAATTTTGTGAAATAACAGCGATGAGTCATCCCTCGGAAATTGAAAATTTAAGGGGACTTTGCAACATGACAACGAGATACGCCTTTTTAGTAGTCAACCATCGAGACGGTTGGTAAAAAATCACGGACGACGCAAAGCACGGCACCACCGGTCACCCAACGGCGAGGATAATCTCTGCAGAAAATAAAGGAAGAAGACGTGATGTCAGGGTCGGGTGGACTCGTGGAGCACACTTTGATGGATGTTACAACCTGAAACTATGCGAGCAGATAACAGGCATCTTCTCCTCGTCCAAGCTTCCCTAAGTCGGGTCCTCCCCAACCATCGCCGTGGCTAAGTTGCAAGTCTCCTTACGATTTTAAGTACTTGTTTTTAAAAGAAATTTTAACCAACATCATCTCTTGAAATTCTGCTCAGTTTTCAATTTTCTGCGAATGAAAAAAACCACGACCAGAGATTTTGTAATGTTACACTGGAGATGCCCCTTTTTTGACTGTAGCCATCAATGTTCGACTGACGTTTTTATAGCGGAATAATCTCTGAAGACTCTCGAAAAATTTGCAGAAAAGAAACATTTTCAAACTCTCCTCATTGTATTTTGAGCCTTTTCTTAACCCTGTATCTCTCAATCACTGTAGATTACAGTATAATGAGCCCAAGTAGTATAAGACGCCATACATTGCGAGTACATTATCAGTTTTTCGCCACTGCAGATGAGTGTTATGCGTGTTGCGTATTGACTAATTGAAGGGGCTCTTTTTACATTGAAATACATCGCAGTAAAATTGACTTAAATTTGCAAATAGTTTGATTCTCTTTGTATCGCAAGCTACCTGTCTGTTGCCTGCAAGATCTCCACGTTTCTAAAGTATGTGAGGCATTTATATTAGTTCATCGTTTAAAATCGGGACCTATTAGTCAACTGATGTATACATATTGCAATTTTATGGCAAAGAAAAAATGAGGAAAGAAGAAAAAATAATTCGATTTTATTACGTCAAATTGTATATTTATTTTAATATTTCCTTGCGCTGTGCTACTCGCGTGGTGGAGTTCTTCGTCCTGCTCTCAAGTTAGAGCACGTAGATTCCAGATTTTGGGCGTCTTGAAAAATGATCGCTCACGGAACCAGCGGAACCCTGAGCGAAGTTGATCTGGCTCAACTTCAGAGATCCCCGTCGCAAGTTGGTCGAGGGAGGGAGGGATGGGGGGGGGGCATCTGGCATTATATTATTGTCGAATGGCCAGAGAAATAAAAATCTACTCTCTCAGCACGACACACAGTGGATCGAGCCAATAGGAGAGATCGGACAAAATTTGGAAACTTTAAAAGCTTATACCTCCGTTTATACAAAAGTTTGAGGTTCTAAAAGTGGTTCTATCGGTTCTCCCGTGAACTTTTCTTCAATTAGCACTCCTTGAAATTTAAAATGCGACAAAATCAACATTATAAGCAGTTTTAGTCAAAAATTTCATGTCCGACCTGTCTCATTGACACGATCCACTGTGCGGCACGGTCAGTGGAATTTTCTTGGTTCGATTGCTGGCAACGTCGTCGCAGCGCATCGTTGTCGCTTCGGACCGAAAATCAGCCCTAAAAACCGTACAATTCAACGCGAGCTGTGTAAAATTTATCGCTCAGTCTGGCAAAGTTATCGTAGCAGCATGCCTCCTGTAAGAAAACATCGGTTAGCTTTCAGCGGCGAGTGTTGTTTCCAAGACGCCCCACCCCCACCCCTCCCGGTTGCAAGTCCCTGTCCGGCCTACGAGTTTGATCTTTTGGATGCCGATTGAGTTCTTCTTTGAAAATTATTTATGCAACCCTTCTCCCTTCCCCCTCCAACCACATATGAATAGGTCAGTTGCACCGAGGATTCTTTCATCTTGAGTCACAAGGCAGGGTGTCTAGCATCAGGAAAAAACGGAAAATATCAGGAATTTTAGCCGATCAGGAAAAAATCAGGAAAATCGGAAAAATCAGACGTTTTATCAGGAATTTTTCTTACGCGAATCTCCTCAGCGGAGAAGTCTTACTGCTTTTTGCCTACCGTGCCAGGAGTCGTCGCGCCGTCTCTGTTTCCGATAATTTCTCACCCGTAGCGCTATGATAAATATAGTATTTACGAGAAAAATCAGAAATTTTCAAAATGAAAAAATCAGGAATTTTTAATAAAATATCAATATTTTTCAAAATTAAAAAATACTAGACCCCCTGCAAGGGATTTCTATCGAATTTTACCCAAAATTGAACGCAAATGGTGATCCAAATGAAGGAAAACCTGGGGGAAGTTAAGGGAAAGGATAAGCGTATGGCCCGAAATCCAGGAAGAAATCGTGTTCATGGCTTTGATTAACTTGTAAAATTTTCCTGCGCATGGTCTCAGCTTGTCTGAAAAGTTTAGCAGGAAGGAACCATTTACATAGTCACATTTTCATGGTAGTTTTTGTCTGTGTAGAGACAATACAGTACGTATGTGAATGGTGTACCTGGAAGAGCTACAGAAGACCTATTTCTGACCTACATAAGAGCTATTTCTGTTGAATTCAGACCAAACTAATGAGGGACTTCGAGGACAAAGTGCAAACCTAAGTGCAGTTCTTGCTATTTCAAGAAATACATGTTTAAAGCTTTAAAATTACATGGAGCCTTATGGCGGAAAGAAAGTCCAAACTCACTTTTTGATGCTTAAAAATTGGATTTCCGTGGTGAATTTTTCGCAGAATATGAATTAAGACTGGTTTTAGGTGAGACCATTACGATCTCATTTTTGTTAAAAACTGCACTTATCCTTACTTGTCTTCTAAGCCCCTCAAATTATACTAAATTCATCATAATGTCAAAACCTTAACCACCTAGTGGTCTGTTGTGCCAACAATGGAAAGCCAATTCCATTCTATTTTAATTTTAAGTTAATATTACTTAATATTATTACTAATATTACTAATTACGAATTACTAATATACCAGTATACATTATTATAACTACTTTAAATAATGAATTTCAGTGAGTAGAGACCAAGATGCAGATGGACGTGGCTACCGAAATCCGGAGGAGCAGGCAAGAGAACTGACTCGGTGCATTCGTCGTGAGGTTTGCAAACTCTCCGAAAAATGGAATGCGCTCATCGACAGATCGGAAAACTGGAGCAGAAAACTGGAAGACACTTTTTCGGTAATTACTCCTTGCTTCCATTTCCATGTGCAGTAATTTCATTCCTTCACCGCCAGACAGCTCTTGACAGAAGTTCAGAGTGGACCGAATGAGAATCTAGGCCTTATTTTAGTCTGAAATATTATCAGTTAAGGTACCTTTTTAAATTGATATTTGTAATGATGTGATAGTCCAGAGAAAAAGGGTCTTAAGTTCGCAGTGGTAAATTGTTCAGGAAATTAATTTTCATCAAGTTAGATCAAGGAACAATCAAAATTGAAATGGTTGGAGACACAGGAGCTTAATTGCATTGCAATGTTGCAAAGTTTTGCCTAGAAAGTTCTGTATTCATTCAAGAACTGTTGTTAATCCTCTGTTAGAGTGAAGCATTGTTTTTTTTTCTTTTATTTTTTGTGAATTATACTTGTGATGCCCAGACATTTTTATAAAAACTACATGTCCACTAATTGATACAGAATATTCCGTTTCATAGAAGTAGGTAACCATGTGAATGCTTAATGTTACAATGCAATTAAACCTTTTTTGTTCAAACCCCATCAATTTGAGGTTTTCATGAAAAATGCTCCTCCCCCTGAGGGAAACTTTTTTCTTGCTCTCAATTTTGTTTTATTTTCAATGGTAACGAACTAATTTTTTTGGTCATCAGAAATTGCGGCTTTTCCAAAAGAATATCGAAGACATATCAAATCGTCTGAGCGCAGCGGAGGCAACAAAAAACCAATGGCATCCAGGTTCAGACCATTCACAGACGCCAGAATCAACCTTGCAGCTTAGAGTAAGTTCATTTCGATTTTGCCCATCTTCTAGTTGATAATAAAAAATTTTCCTCAGTAGTCTAAAAGTTGTCACGTTTCTTTTAGGTTTCCTTATTTTTACTTCAATCATAATGCAATATTATAAGTAATCATGTTGCTTAAAAAAATTCAAAAATGAGGTAAAAGTACCACACTGAGAGAAGTGTTTCATCAACACATCTCAATCAGTACAATCAGTGCAATCAGTATCGGAGAGTTTAAGGTAGTGAGCTCCTTTCTTTTTGGAAGAATCTGTTCAGCGTTTCCTTTTGTATAGAAATTTTGGTATGATGCGCTGGATCTGAGATCTGAGTTCTAAAAATTGCAATTCAGATCGGAATCATTAAGGACATGTCAAGTTTTCCCCTGACAAATCGAACTGGTTGAAGTAAAGTTAGGCACCATTTCCTCTAAAACACTAGTAAGAAGAAAGGTGTGAACTTCTCAGCGACTAATAGCTCTTCTGCCTTTCTTCAATTATGTTCTTCACTGTTTCTTATCTGAATGGTTCAACTGAAATTTATTAATATGATCAATTTTATATTTTCAGAAATTTGGAGAGAAATTGAATAGCTTGCAGCGAAATTTAGAAGATATCAACGATCAAGCAAAAGATTTCTCAAATAATGGTGTTGTTTTGGCAGCTCCAACTCTAAATAAACTTCATGATCTCAACACCAGGTATGCATTAATTTCTACATAAAACCAGGGAATTATTTTACCTTTATCAAACTAGTTTCTCTCTGTAGTACTTATAGTAGCAGATAGAAGAAAAGAAACTCTAATACAGTGTTTCTTTTTCCCCTTAAGTTAAGGACCGTATTTTTTCTGGCAAAAATGGAAACAGAAACTGGACGAGTGGTAACATTATCAAAAGGAATGAACTCTGAATTACACTTTTGGCAAAGTGGATTCCATCTTGCAACCAACAGCACCCAAATGTGGATTGGATGTGGATTAGAATCGTGCATTTGTGCAACTTAAATTCTGTGCAATAAAATTACCGAAATCATACAAATAATTAAATTTACAAATGTATTTTTTGTCTTGAATTTGTAGTTTATTGGGAGTAAAAATATAACTTGTTTAGATGGTCAGTTTATATTTGCAAGGTAAAAAAATTTGCACAAACTTGCTAAATGCAATCCCAATATAATCCTCTTTATTCACCTCATAAATTATAAATGAAAGCTCTCTCTAGTAAAGATTCGTGCATCTTTTAATTTTGTCTAAAATCGTATTTTCAGATGGAAATTGCTGCAAAGCACCACAGATGAGCGCTACCACACCTTGCGAGACGGCACCAACGGGAAGGAGGATGGTAGTCTTATGCCTCCGAGTCATAGTTTTCTGTCATCATCAGTAGAGCCTCCATGGGAACGAGCAGTCACCGCCAGCAACGTGCCTTATTATATTAATCATCAGTGTGAAACAACCCACTGGGATCATCCTAAAATGATAGATTTAGTCAACTCCTTAGCCACTTTTAATGAGGTCCGGTTTTCAGCATACAGAACTGCCATGAAACTTCGCACGGTTCAGAAACGCATGTGTTGTACGTATTTCTTTTACTTCTTAGTGCTAGCCAGTAACTACCGTTTCATTCTTAATTTGATTCTGAAAATTTAAGCATTGAGAGAATGGAATTTTTAAATTTTTTAGATCCTGAGAAAAAGTGTATTTCTTAGTTCAATTGTTTCAAAGTTTACAGGAATATAACTTTATTTAGCCATATTGTCGTGCTAAGGAAAAACGTTGTATGAACTTTCAAGAATTGCCAAATTTCCTTTGATAAAATGTTAATTTTTTAGGCAAATTATGAATATTTTTCCTTGAAATTTTCAGGAACTTAGGGTGAAATTGCGAACAAAATTACCTGAAAAATTTGAGGAAAAATATTCATAAGTTTACCAGGAAATTTCTGTTAGTAAAAAGAAATTTGGCAATGCCTGAAGGTTTATACAACGTTTTTCCTTAGCACAGCAGCTTAACCATACGTTGTACTTTGCTTTAATGCATGGGTGTTTAAGGCAGGAATTCATCTGGGTGGTTATTTTCTCTTCCTTATTTTTAATATAAAAAATCCTCACTCTCAAGAAAATATTGGGACTGAGAAGGAAACAGAGTCTCAATATGGCTGTAACTTTTTTCAGTGCCAAATTTATTCGAAATAGCCCATAGCAAAGTACTAGAAACTTCACCAAACTATGAATAGCACGTTCTAGATTTACCATTTCTTGAAATCAATTTGAGGCATTAGCTCTCAGGAAGAAAGTAAATTTTGTAACCTATGTATCATTGAAATAGACGTAGCAATAACCTACTCTTCCATTTCATTCTGTGTCTCTTAGTGGATTTGCTAAGCGTGGACAGGGCAGTAGAAGTGTTCGACTCTCACGGATTACGCGCTCAAAACGATCGTTTGCTGTCAGTGTCGGACATGGTCAGTATTCTGGCCAGCATTTACGAACTTCTAGCAGCTGATCATCCATCTCGGGTCAACGTTCCTTTGTGCTTGGATCTAGCTCTCAATTGGTTACTTAACGTTTATGATAGGTGAGCACCAATCATCAATATCATATCAATATCAATATTAAGGATGTTCCTTTTTTTATGTAACATACATTGTACAATGTAATCATGTAATCATGTGCTGTACCATGCTGTGTACCATAGTTTCGATCAGAAGCTCATTTTGTACAAATAATGAAATAAATAAATAAATATGAATAATTGTAACTTGTATTAGAGTAGGCAAGAATTAGTTTCCTTTAGCGACAAATATCGCTTTTGCTATACATTGTTACTAGATTTCTTGTACAATGTATATTTTACAGGAATACTGCTTGGTGAATTCTCCTCCAAAAACGTTCCCAAATTCTTTTGAGAGGGTAAAGAAAACTTAGTGAAATTTCCAAATAGACAGTTTGAAAGTTAGTTATTTAAGGAAAATGAAATATTGTAAAAAATTTTGCATAGCACCTGTGCCTGTGATATCTTCCCAGTAAGCAATCAGTTTCAGCACAAAAGAAATTGGGAGTTTAGAGAATTAAATGAATATTTTTCATGATCAAGTGATGCATGCTGATAAACAGTAAGAAGAAGGTGAAATCAGTAAAACGCACAGCAGTTTTAATAGTATTTTTTGTATTCTTCTGCATTGTAGTAAGTATTATACTGAGAGCCTAAGATTCTACAGCTTGGCAAAAGGAAAATAGCATCCAGCAGAAGTGTCAATTTCTTTGATTCTGTGCCAGTTTTTTTCCTGCATAATAATTGAACTTTTTTTTTATCTTTTTCTCCTAATACATTTGACTGAACAATGTAATTATCGCTAATTGCTTCATTCATCTCAAAAATACTTGTAATGAAACGTTAGTAATTCAAAAGTTTTTTTTAACTCAGGGATCCATCGAAATTCTTCACAAAATAACACACGATTAAATTAGAACTGAAGATTTTCTAAACTTTTCCAAACGTTTTAAAGGTTAGTTCAGAGTAGAGTCTATTCCAAATTCTCAAATATCAATGTGATTACATGCTCATCCATATGTTTTTTTTTGAAAATTTAATATTGCTATGTTTTTTTCCTTTTCTTTCAGTCAAAGGACTGGTCAAGTACGAGTGTTGTCATTCAAAGTAGGAATAATACTGCTCTGCAAGGGACACTTAGAAGATAAATATAAATGTAAGTACCTAACAAGATGGTAGAATAGTACTGGCTGGTTCCACACTATGCACTATGAAAATGCAAACACTATGAAATCAAATCCAAAAATAAAAATCTGAGTCACAAAATGAACTCAGAATAGTCTCAGAACAAGACTGAGGGGGAGAGTGTCAGCTCAAGTAGATGCACTGGAGCAGTGGCGTGGCGTGCTTTGTGATACGTCGATTGATCTGCCGTTTGAACCTATGGAATAGTATCAATAAACAGGGTGTTGTCTGCAACAAACACCTCAATACCTAATCTAAGATCAAAATTTCTAAATTTGCGATAATCAATCATTCACGCCTCGTTACTGCATTGCAGTAGCTGAAATCACACCGAAAGATCTTTACCAGTTTAAGTTTTTTTTACCTATCAGTAGGTAGATAACACTCAGTCAGGAAGTCCAGCGTAGTATCCTGCAAAACCCTGGATGGTGCTAAATCGCAGTCGAGGACACGATGCGAGGTATGGTAGAAAAAACAATCTTATTGCCATTCGCCGTCAGTGCTGAGCATTTCTGAGGATGAAATGAGAAAAATAGTCCAAAAAATTCACAATCAGTCATAAATGTAAGGAGTATGTATTGAAAATACATTTTTAACGCTCGCCAATGAGCGAAGAGGAAGGAATAAATTCACTTTGAAGCAGACCTGGAGAAATTCTATCATTCTTGTTTTCAAGGCACTTTGCCATTTTTATACTAAGGTGCCATCTCCATGATTCTATTTTATGTGACTCGTTTTTACCAGTTCTTATTCTCTCTCAGATGGCCTGTCTTGTTATCCTCCCCATGTTCCCGCATAACTTCAGAGAATGTATTCAATATTGTTCGTACTATTTTTCAGACTTGTTCAGATTAATCGCAGATCCCAACAGGCTAGTCGATCAGCGAAAATTAGGTCTACTCCTACATGACTGTATACAACTTCCACGACAACTAGGAGAAGTAGCTGCTTTTGGTGGCTCAAACATTGAACCATCTGTCCGCAGCTGTTTTTTGAAAGCTGGAAAGGACGTTCCTGCTATTGAGGTATGCTCCTGATTTGTATCTTATTTTTAAGTTTCAGAAGAAATATTTTAAACTTATGCTCAGATGTATGGATGAGAGAAAAAATATTTAATATCAATTGGTCCACAACTCACCCTCATGTTTATTAGTATTATTCTGAATTTCATGACTAGATTCTTAAATTATACTAAAAAACCACAATTGGACAACGTCCAACAGAGAGGATCCACGCCATGTGAGGTTGGAACAAGGAGAAAAAGGTTTGACTTGTTTATCCTCCTTCAGCCTCAATTTTGAAGATCAGGTACAACTCGTATTTTTACATTCACAACATATCTTATTGACTTTAAAAATCCTCGATCATTCTGTAATATTCCTTTCATCTTCCAGGCTGTTCACTTTTTGAGTTGGCTGCAAGCAGAACCTCAAAGCATTGTTTGGTTACCTGTTTCGCATCGTTTGGCTGCTGCAGAAACGGCAAGACATCAGGCAAAATGTAACATCTGCAAAGAGTATCCAATCGTTGGTTTTAGGTAAGTTTCCACTTTTTTCAAAAATATATTCATTTCCATAAAGGAAAATCAATGCTTTAGACCCTTTTAGGGCCGACTTTAATTACAAGAGCTAGATATCATGAAATTTCAGGGTCTACTGGTATTTGTCTCCTTACAGTGGGTCAATTCTGAATGTTTGTACTACGAATTCTATTCCTGTAGCAACATCAACCTCGGCATGACCAACTCTCCCTCTTTTCCTTGGTGCTCCCTTCTTCTGAGTTTCGTGAAGTCGAATATCACATGAACTATTTGCAACTCAAAAGAGAGTCTCACTATTTTTTAGTTTGGTAACTTGAGATAAGTTTCTTTTGCCTGCAACATTTATCTATTCTATGAATTATCAAGGGTGTCGTGAACAAACTAGCATCTTTGTAACTTTTTGAGTAAAGAACAGGTACTGATCGATACTCTTAAAACCGGAAAATTTTGTTTCAGGTATCGGTGCTTAAAGTGCTTCAATTTTGATATGTGTCAAAATTGTTTCTTCTCCGGTAAAAAAGGAAAGAATCATAAGCTCACTCATCCAATGCAAGAATATTGCACAGCTGTAAGTTTTGTTTATTCTCTCTTCCTCAAAAATAAAACCAACGAACAGCCACCTAAAAATTTGAAAAATACGTAGTTCTTTAAGATCTTTTCAAGGTCAATTCCAGTAGTTTTACCATTAAACCTACTTACATTTAAAAGATGAGGCATTTTCAACTATACGCATTACTGTACAACTTTTTTACTAATTACATTACGGTCTAGTTCATTAAAACCACTATTCCAAAGCAAATCTATTTACTGATAATTGAAATTGTATTGCAAATCTTCAATAGATTGTAAATTTAATCAAATTTTGGTAAACATCATTTCATCATTCATCTTAATACATTTTTGCAGCTTCCAACATAAAATTTAAGACCCTATCTCCCCCCATTTTCTCAAGTTTTAAAAGTTTCTTCCTACCACTGTAATTATTTAGTGTACCTATCCGTATATTTTTGCACCTAGTCTTATACAAATCTCTGCTAACTTAAATTTACCCGAAGAAATGCCTCCACTTTAAACAGAATCGTGCTGCACTCCTAATACTTTTTTTTTATCATCTTTTGCTATGTTTTTTGCAGACTACCTCTGGTGAAGATGTGAGAGACTTCACTCGAGCTTTGCGAAATAAATTCAAATCGAAGCGCTACTTCAAGAAGCACCCTCGTGTTGGGTATCTTCCTGTTCAAACAGTATTAGAAGGCGATGCTCTCGAGAGTCCAGCTCCTTCACCGCACCATTCAAACACACTTCCTTCCCATGATATGCACTCTCGCCTTGAGATGTACGCATCGCATTTAGCTGAAGTTGAGCTCAGAACACGAAGCAATTCAACTCCTGACTCGTAAGTAAAGTCCAGACGTAATTTTTGCACCCTATATTTACAGTAACCATTATAAAAATGAATGAAAAACACACTGTTGTTTAAAAGAAAAAAAATCTTAATTATCTACCATTTTGAGGGCTAATGAACAATACCACCTAACTGGCAATTTTGGAAGAAAGGAATTAGCGAATTTGACGCATTCTACAGTATAAAGTACACAAGCTGATGAATTTAGATGTTTTCCAACTCTGTAGGGGAGCGCTTCAACGATGCTGTAATGTGTGAAAAAATTGTTAATCTAACCTTGAATTTACAAAAATGGCAAAGTTTCTTCTTCGGTCTGCAAAATCGTCAGTTTGCAGATAGGCGGTGTTGTTCGTTCGCCATGGATTTATTTGATACTTTCTTAGCCGTTTGAATCAACAAAAACCCAAAACATAAAAAAAGGCCAAAATTTGGATACATTTTTGCAAGTTCTCTGTCTTATCGATTTAAGAGTAGTCAGCCTTGTAATTTAAGCATAACCAAATTTTTGTTCATAATTTTTTTGCAGAGATGACGAACATCAGCTCATTGCCCAGTACTGCCAATCACTAGGTGGAGACTCAATCCCTGTCCCAAGGTCGCCAGTTCAGGTTGTTGCTGCAATAGACGCAGATCAGCGTGATGAGCTTGAGGCAATGATCCGTGAGCTAGAAGAGGAGAACTCAGCCCTGCAAGCGGAATATGAACGCCTACGAATGTCGCGCGCACCTTCGAAGGGCACTTTGCCCGACTGTGATATGGCCGCTGAGGCCAAGATGTTACGACAGCATGAGGGAAGACTAGAGGCAAGGATGCAGATTCTCGAGGATCATAATAGACAGCTTGAGGCTCAACTGCAAAGGCTCCGGCAACTTCTTGATGAGGTTGGTGTGAATAAATAACTTGGCTTGCGTCTCGAGTACAGTGTTTCAAAAGTCCTAATTTTGTTTCATTTTAGTTCATAATTGGTAGGAAAAAATAAACAAATTTTATTGCTTGAAATTTCCATTATCAGTGACTTAAGTGGAATTGATTTATTCCAGTTTAAGTATTGTAGTTTTCCTTTTCAAAAAACAAATTCCTCTCCTTTGATTTTACTCTACGTTGCAAGTTCTGACAACTGTCATCGAGAAAATTATTGAAAATTCAAAATGAATCATAGAATTATTTAATATCCAATGGTTGCTCATTGATGGGATGAGACAGGTAATTTTTGTTTACCTACGCAGTTTGCAAAGTATACATTATGTCATAATCAAATTCATCACCCTAAGAAACTCTTTTTTCTTTCTTTCTTTTAAAGCAAGGAAGTGATCATGTTTTTATTTTTGTTTCTTTGTAGCCAACTCTGCAAACTAGATCAGTGACTGCCTCGCAGCTGGCAACAGATTCTCCCGCTAAAATGAATGGCCACTACATTGACACATCAGGTGAGAACTTGGTTAATTCACTCTCTCAAATGCGTAAGAAATAAAGTGAAATATTATAAAGTGTACATTGTGGTGAACTATGTTGATCTTTCTTGCTCAGAACAAAGTTGTTAGCATAAATTTAAGCAAGAAAAATGTCAAAATTCAATGCTCCACCTATCTGATGAGCCAAATTCGAAGTAAATCAATTAGAGGACAACGCAAGTATTGGTCATGATGTATTACAAAAGTAGGTATATATCACAAAAGGCAAAAATATCTTCGAAGAGATGAAGGCTAAACACAGACCTTCGAACTTGGCTTAAAAAGTGTAATACTTATATACATCGGCGTCTCCAATTCATCAGCACCATCAATTTTACAGCGAAGCAAAATTGTATTAAGTGTAAATGGTTTCATTCTCTTCTTGGTTTACTTCTCTACCAATTCTATGCCTGAATTGAGCTTTCTGCTCAGGTATTCCTTATTTTGGAAGAAATTTCCATTTTTTCTCTCACCAATTTCTAGTAAAGTTCGTTTCATGCCAGGGTCTGTGTTCAATCATCTTTGTAAAAAAATGTGTGTTTTATTTATTTTCTTTCACTTAAAAAGCAAACAAAAAATTGGATTTCTCAAGGATGGTAAACTTGAGGGGCCGCACTTTTCTTCTCCTCCCTCTTTTTTTCAATTTTTAAAATCTAAGAAAATTTTAATTGGTTATTAGGAGAGTCACAAAAGTACCATAATTCAGAAAAATCAAAAGAAGAAATTGCTAAACACTATGTTTCGTTGAATTCTTCCTCTGCCTTTTCATCACAAACTCTTGTTAAAGAGAATAATTAAAGAAAGGCATAAATACCATGGGACTTGTAGAGTTTTCATCCCCATTTCGCAATGAATTGCTCAGCAAAATTCCAGTATGTGGCTAATTCTCGGTTATTTTTTAGGAGGTCGGTGGGTTGAGGGAGGTCGTAACAGTATAGATAGACCTCCGCCACCACCAGCAATCGCCAGTCTTCATCACATGGCAGGTGTGTCTTGTGTTTTGCGCTCAGTCTAGTTGTTTGTGTGGCTTGTAGATAGTGTGATTAGTTTAGATATTTCCCCTCCCTATCATCATGAATGGACCAAACTGTTACATCAAAATCCTTTTCTGCAAAAACATCTGACAGTTGTTGAATTCCACATAATATCTCATTATTTTGAATTGTATTCATTTATATATGAAAGGAAATTTGGTTTTAATGAAAAAATCAAATTAATCTATAAGTCAGTTGCTGTGTACCTCTCCTAGATCATTACGAGTCAAGCACAGGAAATTCTTAAAGATTTTATCCAATTGTTTTCCCTTTTTTCCCATTATTTATTCATGTTTTAAATTCCTAACAGTTCTTGCATTACTTACATGTAACCCTCAATTTATTTATTTTACTCACGGCTTGTCGCAGTATCTGTCCCTTCCACAGTGTCTTATAGCTTTGTCATACGGCCAATAAACCCAAATATTTCAGCCCAAGAGTGGACTAGTTGTAATCCTCTGATACTGGCAGTATATGTTATTGAAAGTTTCTCAGAATCTATCCATCTACTCTCAGCTGAACAAGAAAACTGTGCAAGCACTGTGACTTGAGGAAACGTTAGAAACAAAATGACTAATGTAATATGAACAAGCATAAAAATTCCCATGATCATGCAAGTAACCATTAATGAAAGAAATTCGGTCAACTGCAGTAAAAAGGACTTTTGAGCACAGAAGCAAATAAATTTATTCATGGGTAATGTGTTTTAGCATTCAAAAACTAATCTGGGAGTGGTTTAGTCCATTTTTCTGCCAACTAAGATTGTAAATTTACATTACTATTGGACTTCTTTTAGCCCCGAATGTGGCAACTTAAAATCTCTAATAGGTTGTCCACGAAGCAAGGTTTTTTACGACCAGATACTCTAAAACATAATATCTACAGTATGATTTGAGATCTTTTGGCGTTTATCTCACGAAAAATGTACCTACGTAAAAATCTTCTTTAAGAGGTGGCACCATTGTCACAATATTTACTGTTTTAGTACTACTAGGTCCCTTTTTCTTTAAATGGTCACACAGAGAGAAAAACATGATGCTGTATTGTATTCTTGTAGATTTGTTTCTTTCAATTTTTTTTTTTTTTTTTTTTTTTTTTTTTTTTTTTTTTTTTTTGCTAGGAGTTATGGGTATTATCAAAAGTATTTAGATGCATGAAGTGTATGTCATATCTGCATCAAATTTCTTTTCCCTTGCTGTTCTCCATTCCTCACTCAAACCTAGACAATTGAAAGAGAGGAAGCGCCCCCTCCTTCCTCCCAAAAAACAACATTTTTTGCATGCAGCATTTTTTTTTTTTTTAAATGAGTGAGCTGTTTGTTTATTTTGATTTTAATAGGTGTATGCGTGCGTATTGTAAGAAATGACGAATGGTGTGAGTAGAGAAAGTTGTTAGTGTCATAGAATCCTTATGACATTTGTGTGCTCCTTCAGTTAAAGTCAATTTTTCCTTTCTCCGACTGTATGAAACCTAGCGTCTGTTGTGTTCCATTGAATTGTGGCTTTGTGCTGTAAAATTCGAGTTTTAGAATTCCTTAAAATTATTGAGATTTGTCTTATACTTATTGCGTTTGCGTATGTACTTACTCATCAGTTGCCTTTTTCCATTTTATTTTCATGCTACTTCCTCAAATTCAGGACGGATGTAAGTTTTCATTTCTACTCAGCAGTGTTATCTGATATGTAAGGTAGAGGTTACCCAAACGCGTTTTAAATCAGGTCCCATACCTTACTCAAGCAGAGGAATAAATGTTACTTTTTAAGTAGGTGTGAAGAAAGTTGGTTAATAATGGTGAGACCTTTATTCGAAATCTTTGCCATTCATAATTATTAAACTTCCATTAACACATTATAGCTCCCATCATTTTTTTCTTTATTAGATTTGATTTTTTTAAGCCTTTAGAACCACAGAACTACTCTGCGACTGTTAGTTTTAAACAGTGAAATGCTCATTACAACTTATTTCGATTTTATTCCAAACCAAAGATGCTTTGGAAGCATTCTTTTATTGTGTAATGCACAGGCAGAAGAGGCGAAATCTAGTCCAGAGTGATATGAGTTAGAAGGGTATGGAGGTTAAAAGCCCAGTGTTAGGTTTGCATTGATTCAACTAATAAAAAATTGCATAATATTTTTAGGCAAACAAATTTTTGGGAGCCTTGGAATTTTTTACAAAATAATCTTCTCAATGACATTTACTGATATTTCAAGCGCCAAGCAATCCTTTGAAAAACTTTTCCATGATTTTCAGGATGACTCTGATCCTGTGACTTTTTGACTCCATCACTGATTTAACTTAACTCTAATGTAACTCGATCGTACTTAAGCGTTCCAGAAAGGGTGTAATGATGGTGAAACTACAAGGACATTTACCTTGAGGGCGCTGTTTCAAAAGTTCAATTTTTGCCTTATTCTTTAAGAGGAATATTACTGGATATTTTTGCTTGAAACGTTAGGAGAATAGTCTTTAAGAGGCTACAGAAAGTCATTTGTAGTGTAAAGAAGTACGAATGACCTGTCTTCCTCAAAAAAAGTAAAATGAGAGTGGAAATTTGCAGCATTTCAAGCTGAAATAAATTTTGCAGTATCACTTTCAATATGTTTCAGTGAGGCATAAACAACGTTGATTGAAATTCATTTGTGTCTGTTTCAGGTGATCTGAGCAAAGTTGTCACAAAACTGGTTTCAGCATTCGTTGAAAATCCTGATGCCAAAGCTCCCAGTAACGACAAATAGACTTCTCCCAACAGCGCATATTATGTTCGGCTTTAAGTCATTCTTTTCAGCTTTTGCGTAAGAAGCGGCACTCCTTGGGACAACTGAACCAATGACATCTCATAGTTCTTTATCCCTCTGCAAAGTATTATTAGGACAGCTTTATCATATCATGTAAATCCAACAATCATACATTAGTATTTACTATTTTGTAATAAACCCTGTCCACATATAGCTACTATAGCCAAAGGAACCAGTTTTATTGGTTTTATCTCTTTTTGAAAGCAAGTCGCTTAAGAGAAAGCTCGCTCATTTTGCAGCAATCGGCAACATTTATTTTCTAATCATCAGAGTTTTCACTTGCTATACTTAGGGATAAATATTTAACAAAAAGTGTTGCAGGTGCTATCAACTGTTAATCCATATCATGGTCTTATTCATATCATGTATTTTATGTTAAGAGGTTCCGGTGCGGTCCTAGAAAGAGAATACATATTGCATTTACAAATTTTGTCTTAAGAATTGACTGACTGAATGAATTTAGTTAGCAAACTCATGAATATCATTGCTAAGAGTGTTCTTTTTTTTTTTTTAAGGAAGACAGGACTCTTAATGGCACCACCTTGAAAAAAATGTATAGCTTGAAAATTTGTCAGATTAAAGAGCAGTTTATGAAGAATTTTAATGTATAAAGAATTTTTGAATTATGTCCTTGTTTTTTTGAATAGATATTTATTAACATTTTTAAATTAAAGTAATTTACCTAATGTAACAAATGGCAATACATATATAGGTTTATATTTCTCTAAATGTTTTCAATTTAATTGACTTCTCTGTTATTTTATATATCTCTTTTATTTTTTAATGATGTGAATAATTCTAGTTCTATCCGCTTTCTGAAACTTTCTAAATAGTTAGTGACTGTATCAATTAATCACTGTACTGATAAGGCATAATGATTGAACATTTTATGTACTTCTTTTGTACCTCGTAGTTTCAGTATATCTTTTTTTTTCTCTTTTTTTTACATTTGAACATTCCTCTGTCTTTTTTTTAAAAGTAAAAGTAACATAACCGGCTAAGACAAATTCATGTTAATAATAATTTTAGATGCATTTTTTTAACGGAAGTGTTTTATTTTTACTCCCTCCTTTTTCGCAGAAATTCTAAGATGTCCAGTTAGTTGTTAATGCTCTCTCTAGCTGAGACTTTTGACAAGATGCTGGGTCTGTCCTCTTTTTTCTTGTTTTAAAAAAAATTTGGTTTTGAATTTACAACGATAGTGATAGGTATTCGACCCACGATTTTGTGCGAACATAGTTGATTGACATTTGGACATATTTCTGTCAAACGGAACTAGGCGTCAATTTGAGTTCCTTTTGAGGAATTTAGAATGCCGGATAGCACGTTCTGTCAAATGGAACTAATCGCCATGGAAAAGCATTGCGACTATAGAACGGAATGAGCCTGACGCCCGGCTTCGCCTCCAATCCAAGCCCCCCTCTACCTTCATCCCCCGATGGCACTTAGTTCCGTTTGACAGAAATACGTCCATTTCATGCATGGAAAATGTAAAATGTCACTAAGCAGATGATATAAAGCTATGCGAAGACTAGATCTCTGTGGGCTAGGTGCAAGAGTCAGTCATTCTTTTATTTCAAAAATTTCAAAATTAAGAAATAAACACAGCTCAGAAGATTGTTTCATAACCACTCTAGTACAAAAAACGTCCCCAAACATCTATCCAAACCAAAGCTGTAACAGTTCCAATTTTTCAGTTAATTAATCGTATTTTTGGAAGAAATCTGAGTGAAGTTTCAATTTCTCATGTTTGCTCAAAATTGTTCAATTAAAATGAAATTTTTTACTATTTGCTGGGTCAGAAATGAGCAAAATTTATTGTAATCAACTATTGAGCGTACTAAGAAGTTAAACTTGAGTAAAATTGTTCTCTCAAATAATTCGTCTGTTTGCACTAAAGGTTCCTTTTCTTTTGGGCGGTCACATTTCACCGTAAAGCAAAATTCTTCGTATTTGTAAGTCATTTGACACCCAAACAAAATAAAACTTCAAACTTGTAAAATTTATGTGGTCAATTTGAACTTCTCCTGTTACCATCTTTGATGTAAGAAATGAGAGGGGAAAAATTGAAGTGCGTCTGTTCAAAGAAGCTATACTATTTTTGAATCTGTGAGCATTTTGAATTGAATGTAAAAAGATTTCCAAGCAAGGCTGCCAGACTGTATTTACAAATCTGAATATTTTTTATTGAGTTAAATGGGGATGTGTTCTGAGCACAAATGCTGGATTTTCAGTGCAATCTAGGAACAATGTTACGAAGGTAACTACACCCTGCCTAGTTAGAGCGTACCTATCGTAATGAATCAGTTGCACTGGTTACAGAATTGTGTTTTGATGGTTTAGGCTTACAGCTCTACAAAAATCAATGAGAGCAGTTCTAACACCTTCTTATGTCCAATATTAATTGAGACATCACCTGTTAGAAATTTGGTATCTGCCATCATCCACCACGGTACCTAGTGCACACCATGGTTTCTTCCACCTTGGCCTCATTCATATACTAAGTACATGGAACAACCATTGCAAATGTGTGTATTACTGATTGATGAAACCAAAATGAAAGAAACCATGCAGTATAGAGTGGTAGGTGAATGATGTCTTGCACCATATTTTGCGATGAGTGATATCTCCGTTTATATTAGACATTTAAACTCAGTGTCTAAACAGACCCCATTATTTGTTGCTAATTCATAAGCTTAAACTATCCAAACATGATTTTGTGGCTGGCACAACCGACCTATTATCAACATTAGGCCTCAAACTTCAGCTTACCTCTACAAGAGAGATGATGTTTGATGCGAGATTCAAATTGAAGACACACAAGCTCAAAAACAAGGAATTTTCGTGGCAGGCAAATTTGTGGAGGTTTTCCATAAAAAAAAACTTAGAGGGGTAGGAGACAGCTGATGCTAGGTATTCCTAATTTAATTTCTTGTTTCAAAAAGTAAAATGTTTTTGGCATGTGTTACCCATTTAGTTCCAAGAATCGGCCCTGCAGCTAAAAATAAGATGAAATTTTTCAGTCTTTAAGTAGGACAGTATGAAAATTTTTGAACCTTAGAATTGGACTTTTTTTGCAATCAAGAAGAAGAATTCATGCCTATCCTATCTTTTCAATGTAAAATGAAACACAAAAAAAAAAAAAAAATGAAAGAAAAATAAATAAAAAAGTACTTAAGCGCACTAAAGAGGACGACTAACAAAACCAACGAATCAAATATATGTAACTTCATACTTCATTAGTCTTTTCTTGTCCGATTGGCAAACGAACTATCAACAATTGACTGCTGGAAAGAATATCTAAGAACCATGCTGCTAGTAGAGAATTTTAAACCAGATAAACTGATAGACAACCGTCTGCTTGACCAAGAATCAGCGACAAATTTCAAATTAGAATCAAATTTTCTTCATTTCGTTGGATATGCAATTTGACATCCATGGAGTAAAATTGTTGCTTGATTTTAAAGCAAACTCATTGAAGGTGTGAAATGGGCGTCGCACCATTGACAAAGAAAATAAAATGAAATAATGAAGAAGGAAACTTTATCACAAGCCGGAGTCCTCTGCTCATACTTGCAAGCTTTCCCTACATTGGAAGTCCCAGAGTCCCTCCTAGACCCTGCGCTGAGATTAACTGCATTTATCGTGGTCTCAAGAGTACAATGAGAATCCTTAAAAGTTATATTTACTAAAAGTACTTTTCTCTACTGGGGCTCGCTCCTGTAATCGAATCAAATGGTTTCCATTTCTTCCCATAAATGAATTAAGCACTGTAATATGAGAAAATTAAATTAGAACAGAAGAATAGTTGTATTTTCTTTATTTTTATTCTAGTGGGATTTATACGGNGGGGGGGGGGGGAATTTACAGTAGTAATCTAGTGCACACAAAGCTCTCTAACATGAATTGTTTTACTCATTTATTATGAGAGCACGACATAGACATAGGGGTCATTTAAGGCATTTTCAACAGAGTCCCATTTAAGAATTGAGCTCAGCTCTTTTGGGTATTTTTGGGGACAGCGCTCTCTGATGTTTCTATACAATGGGCAGTTAAATAGCAGATGAAAGTTATGAGAAAATTAAATCAATTTATTTCTCGTAATATTTCTTGCAGCTCAAACTTCTCACCGTTAAATTACAGTTCACTGTGTCTAAAATTGAGCTCATTCATATTTACCCGCCAATGGCTCAACGATGAAACAGGCCAATCAACTAGCTACAGCCCTCGCAGCTCGATCGGTATTGGCTGGCTTCCAGCATAATACGTAAACGCTGCTCTGAAATATGTCGAAGCCTAAAAGTACGTAATCTTTTCACCTCTTTCAAAGCATCGTCGGTCTTTGGGCTGAAGTTTTATATTTGAATCCCACATAGATTGTTTTGATTAGGTTGTGATAAGCGATAACATTTGCTTGTTCGAACTTTTGAAAGGTTTTCATTTCTATTTTGTGTGCTATTCGCGGGTTACCACTGGTTTGTTTATCACCTTTGCGGTCGTGTGGTATAAGTTCTTCAGAAAGTTTTGATGTGTGACCTTCTTCAGTTCTTTGATCCATTTTCGAGCCTGTCACTATCATTATTTTGGTTTTAGCGCCAGATATACTTACTCTGCAGGAAGGAGAGTTAAATTTTGTGGACCACTCATAATCCAGACGACTCATGATCGCTCGACTTTAGCGCAGGATACCTCCTCACACTCCAATTCTGATCGATACATCAATCTGAATGCAGATACTATGGTAATCCATCCTCACGATACCTTTCAGGAACGTTAAGGGAACTATGTCACTCTTTTTTGATGTATGCATTTAATGTAGAATCTAGAGCTCGCGCATCGCATGTTGAGACAAACGTCAAAGTATTGCTTATGTCACCATTCACCAGTGGTGCCACCTGACTACATGTATTATCCTGTTGAGTGGTACGAATTCAGAGCTAATCGGAGATTGACGTTTGTCTCAACATACGATGCGCAAGCTCTATCTTGGTTAGTCAGTCAATGAAACTTCAACTATTGCCTCAATGGAAAAACGATGGATGTAGAATGATGATGGAAACGATAGTAGTAGTTGAAGAGAACTTACTTGATGAGGTTTAGCTCCTCCGTTTACTTAAGACTTCCCAATGCATTGATGGACCTCTTCAGACCGATTAGTGTTGAGTTAGAAGGTAGAGCAATCCTGTGGATACACAAAATTTGTCGTGTAATTTAAATAGAGTCAAATAATGCTACCTGTTCGGTCGCGTAATTATATTAACGTATGGTTGCAAACAGTGTACTTAAAAGACCTGTCTTAAGTACTTCATTGTCCCAAACAATGAGGTGCTGCAGGATTCGTCATTAGGTCATCTATCCTCAGAAAATCAAGTGTAGTAGCAGTTGCATCAACTTTTAAAGGTACCCAAGTAATGAATGTAAGAGGAGGTGGTCTATCTTCAATACCCATTGTTATTGCAGCCTCCTTAGGTTTTAGATGTATCTATTATGTTCGGCGTAGTAGTTTGAATAAACATATTCCTTTCAAAGTTGACACTGATGCTATCTTTACCCGTAGTTAAAGTAGGATCAGCCCTTTTTTTTCTAATCGACGTAGAAGTTTGAAACTTTGGGGATGTTGCTAGGTGTAAGGTAGCAACTTTTGGTCTGTCCAAAATTTTGGGGGGCAGCCTTCCTTAGGGGAGCAATGGCTAACTTTTTTTTTCGAAAAGCAACCCCCCCTTTGAGACACCTCATTCGAAAGTTTCAATGAGTGAAATGATTAACAGAATTACGTTTACACTGCGTTTATATTTAATATCAAAATCTTCAACCTATGAATTTAAGAGACTCCTGAGTTAAGTATCTACTCTCTACTGATTTAATTTTTGTAAAGCATCAAGGTATTTTTGTAAGTATTCAATGCAAAACCCCAAAAATATTACCAATTGAAATAAGTTCAATATACCTATCTCAGAAAATTTTTTGGATTCACAGTATTCTTAGAGTTCATTTTTAATGATGAAATGAAAATTAAGGAGTTCTCTTCAATATTCTATCCCAGTCACAGATTGACTTATTATATAAGCACTTTGAATTTCCAAATTGTAGCTCTTTCTTTTTGATTGCAGCGCAAGGATCGAGATGGCAGAAAATAATTGGCCTTGCCCCTGAATAGCAGCCTTATATTAACCTGCAGATCTGAATGCAAGAATAGCGTCAGGAAATGTCTGAAACCAGTGGTAAGCAAGCCCTCAATCTCAATGAATCGAAATACAAGTGACAAGACTGATTATGATGTGACGGAAGGAGAGACATTCAACTGGAGTGTCTCCGCTGGAGCTTATATTTTTTTAAAAAATATTGGCTTTTTCAAGAATGCCTGTGAAGATTCCCAGTCGTACTTTTCATTAGCTATCTTACGTTACATCTACGTTTCGCAGCAACGCAGACTGGTCATAGACATAATTGAATCTTAATTGGGCGTAAGGCTTGATATAAATCAGGCAAAATAATATTATGAGTGGAAAAATGAGCTTTCTTATCAACTGCTGCAACTTGGTCTACAGGTAGTATTTAGGCTTCCCATAAATTGTATGCTTGCCTCGCACACATTCTGTCAGGTACTTCTGCTGATCCCTCGACTTTTCAGGTTGCCTACTTACCGCCTCATTTAAATATCCGTATGCAAGGTTTTGATTGCATTATATGCCCATGACGCTTCCTTGGACTGCGTTTAACTGAAAAGAACCTAGTCACATCAAGGTGTGTCAAATCATGTCCTCCAAGTTAAGCGGCTAAAACATATCAAATCAGTCTTTTTTATTATATTTAACCACTTTAAACAATTTCCAAGCTTTTTTTAGAACCCAAGAGTAGCCCAATCCTTTAGAGCAGTTTCGAATTTTTATGGAACAGGAAATAAGCCTAGGTAAAGCTTATTATTTATCCGATAGTTTGGTTTTGTTTTTGTTACCTATGTATTTTTTTTTTTTGTTCTTTTAAATGATCTAGAGAAATTTGAAAATCCTCAAAAAAAAAAAAAAAAAAAAAGAACCTAATTGCAATCACCAAAAAATATCATGCAAAATTAGATTTCAAATGACAATCAGCAAAATTGTTCCCCAAATTGCGATTGCAAAATTCTCTTGCAAATTTAGGAATCGTAGTCAGAGAGATTTTCAAAGCAGAAAAATTGTGGTTTCACACTCTCTCTTCTACACTATTATCATCATTCTGGATCGAGGAGCCAGTAACTACTGCATCATCTGTGTGTCTGTTCTCTCCCATACGATGACACTTTGATTTGTTAAGAGAAGGCCCCTCTGACATATGGGCGTATCTCAATTTCCATGTGAGCCCTGTTCTGCATATGACTCCATTCTTTCTGAGGCTTATGGGGAAATAGAGATATGCTCTTATGTCAGAGGAGCAATGATATTAGGTATCTCTTTCTTCCTCTGTGTTTCTGAAAACAGTACTTACATTTTGTTACAGGCACTTCAATAGTTAATATTAAAATGGAACCAGGCATTGATGGTACTGGTGAAAAGAATTTCGATCTCAACAATGTGACTGATTTATCGCAAACATGTCGGGCGTGTGCTTGTGTCGATACCTATTTCATACCTGTTTTCGATGGACAAGGGATTGAACATGATCTAGGAGCCAAAATCAACCAGTATTTACCAATTATTGTACGTTTAGGAATCTTCTATTTATACTAATGCTTCTGTTCTCTCCAGAAACGAGAGAAAATGTTTTGAAACTTCTTTTAAAGTCACTCAGTTGCTGCCAATCTAATCATTATCTTTGCAGGTGAACATATAATTTCTCCAAAGTTTGAAAGGAACTTTAGTCTGGTCACCTCTATCAAAATCAATCACCTCGTAAATTTAAGCTGTACTTATCAAAAAATAAAAAAAAAAAAAAAAAAACCCACGTACGCACCTCTTTTTCAATTCAGTGTGAGGAAGCCAACTTGACAAAATTGATGGAAAACCTAGCGTATTTAAGCCCAAGTGAAGTGAAAATGATTATGATGAAATTAGATATTAGGTATCAATTAGATTCTAAAAACCAATATACAGGAAATCAACACAATTAGCATATCGATTGTCCGGAGAAATGGTATCTTGCATGCGAGGCTTCAAAGTCTCCACTTTCATTTGATCTCATCAAATCAGAATGAGCCAATACAATCGCTCAAAATTTTCACAGACTATTCTTCACACAGAGAGGAAAAATTAGTATAGTTTCATACAGCAGAAGTTCTTCACTATCTTTGATGTATTAAAATCAGTTTATTAAATCTTTGCTTTGGATAATTACAGGTCTCAAAAGCTGATGAGTTACCAACTCAGTTATGCTATCAATGTGCCTCACTGCTTGTAACATGGCATGAAATGTTCATAGGATCCTTAAAAGCAGAAGAAAATCTCAGGAAACTAAAATTAAGACTGAATGCAAAAAATGCGTACAATGTAAGTTTTCTTTTTCTTCTGTCACTGTGAACTTCTTGATCTTGTGACTAGGATGTTTTAATCTTAAAACTTCCCAAATTTTACTCTACTTCTTCATTCTAAATCCAAAACATTAAAAAACTTAAACTTGTGTTAATGCACATCGTAGCACATGGATTGATCAAGTATTAGACAGCTCGCATTTTTATTTTCTTCCCTTGCAAGACACTCACCAGGGTAACGCACCTGTAACAGAGACTCAGATGCTCTCTCACAAAGTTTATGCAATGCTGAGCAGGATTCTTCATGACATTTTCATTATTGCTTTGATATAACGTCCTCCTCCCTGCAAACTGTTGTGTAAGAAATTTTTGACAATTAATTTTAATGCAGCTACAAAGAAAAATCCAAGAGACTCTGGTATTTCTGCCTTTCTTTTTATTAAATTTTATTTGAGTATTAGACTCACTAAGTACTGAAAATCCAATCCCATTTTAAATGAAAAAAATGGTGTGTAACTTCTGATTTTTAGGACTCCAGGAGGTTTGGAAATTTTGGATCGGAGGGTTTTGGAGGTGAAGCGTTTTGGATCCTATTTACTGCCTGTGTTTAAAAGGCTTGTACAGTGTTTGACAGAGTTCCCAAAAGTAGGAAAAATGAGCGTCAGAGTTTCTCTCACAAGCTGATTCAATTTATATATCTTTAGATCTTAAGCTGATATTTTGAAGGGAAAATAACCTCTGCCAACCAACTTGACTCCTAAAATTTGAAGTTGTGTCTTTGTACTGTGCTTGGGTATTAATATTCTTTTCCTTCTTTGATTTCTATTTATGTAGGTGGATGATGAAGGACGAGGGGCGGAAAGTGAAGAGCTGGACAGCAATCCAGAGTTCATTCTAGGGACTGAAATGGAAGAAGAGATCTCTCGACCTCTCATTGTTTCCGCTCAACCTATTAGTAAGGTAAGACTTGAACATTCTGGGCCTTTATATAAGTGCATTTTTGGGATTGATTGCGGTTTTTAATAATTTCCGCTCATATTGTATTTCCCAAGAAAATAGTACATAGTTCTTTCCTAATTTTTTCGTTTTCTGTTTTTACATTAATTGAGACAAATTTTGACTGATAATTCGTACAAAATTTTGTGAGTGACTAGTAATTAGCCACTCTCAGGAATTTCAGCAGTTTGGGAAATTTGGAAAGTCTCGGAATAACACAGAATGCACATCGACCTGCATTTTTTTTTTTACCTGAATTTTGCAAGCAGCATTTAAGGAAAGTCAGCATGTTTGGAAAGAAACAGTCTAAGTAGAAACTTTGTTCCAAGGTCAGGGAAAGTCAGGAAATTTAGCGATTTTAGAGTTGGAGAGAAGCAAAAAAAGTGGGGGAATATGTAAGTGAAGAAATTATGGAAACGCTGATTCTCTAAAAAAATATAATGTGACTGGAAATCTGGGACATCAAAAATTGAGAAAAATATTTTCCTATTCTGACTTTTAATTTGTTAAATAAATATTCTGTAAACAGCCTGTTCTGTGGTTGGGCCAGACTCTCCGGTATGTGGTTAAGTTAGGAATGACATCCAGGCAAATCAGGGTGTTTACAGGGTTAGAAATCTGGATAAAGCCCAGGAAATCAATTTTACATAATAATGTGAAGATAATAAAAAAAATGTTAAAGAATTTCATGGTATAAACCACAAATTTTTCCTCTCGCTTGATTTTCCCTTAGTTGTTGACTTTTCCTGATTTTCTCCTATGTCTGTTGCAGAAGAAAAGCGAAGAAAGCGTACAAAACAATCATTCGGATAGCGATGATAGCAAAGATTTTCAAGCTCTGTATGGAATAAATTCAGAGTAAGTATATAAACAATTTTAACTTGTATAAGGTACAACTAACTGTTCAATTGACCGTCACAGCATTTCGTGTGTATGATTTTGCTAGTCATGTCGACTGATGGAATGATCCAAATGGAGAAACCCTATAATATTTTCCCCTAAAATCTGATAGTTAATGGACCTCTAGACATTGGAAAAAATTGAGTATTGCAGTGAAAGTTTCTTATTCCTCCTCTAATTCATACCGTTGAAATCTGAATGCTAATATTTAAATGATTTTTTTGTGTCAGTCATTATTATTTAAAAATATGTAAATTTTGTTTTTAATCTAACTTAAATAGATTTTCTGGGACATCTTTGCACTTTTAGTTTTTACTGTCGGAAACAGAGTAGGTTTTTTCCACTAAATTTCATGTAGAACTTGGTAGGTGCCTTCAAAATTTTCTAACCAAATCAAAAGTGGAAACTCAGTTTAGAGTTTTATAGAATTTAATTTTCTATATTTATCAATCAAAACCCATGCATTATTCAAACGAAGTCTACTTCAGTCAAACCAAGCACCTAATCTATTTACGTGAGCTCTCAAATCAAATAATTTTTCAGGGTGCTAGGTTCCTCTAAACTGGTTTACATGCATTGCTCATCAAAGGAGAAAGAAGTTTTTTCACAAACCTAACACCAGTGCTCTGTCAAAAGTTTGAGCTTGTTTTTTATGGCCACTCGGATCCTCGTTGATATTGATCTTTTTGAGCGGGTAGTCTGAACTGACCCATTCAGTGTAAACTGTGAACATAATATTTTCTTTCATTCGCTAATGTTGCAATTAGCTGGGAATCTTGCTGGCAGAACTGCCGACTTACAAGGGTCATGGAGGGTTGCAGAGGTTAAGATTTCAAATTATGAACCCACTTGTGCGCTGCTGAACTGTGATTATGCCTCAATTCCTGTCTATGCTGGGTACTTTCAGTCTTGGTCTGGGTAGGGACAGTAGTTATAATATGATTCTTTCTGCACTTCGAAGAACCCCCAAAAAATTTATTTTTAACTATTCAACCATTTTGAAGTTCTGTCCGTGAAAGTACAATGAGGAAGTTTCATGTGATATTTTCCTTTTAAGTGGCTAGTGGTCCAATCAGCCATCAGAAAAAATGTGGTGTTGACAAATATAACTACAACGACTGATGTGACGGTTAATGTGTTCAACTAACATACTTTGCTTTATTGTGGTTTTCCCTCCAAAAAAAAAAAAAAAAATAATCACCCCACAAATAGTTCATCAAAACTAATGAATGGTTTCTATTTAACTATTCCACAGCAATATTAAGGTTTGCTGTTTAGCGGCTGGGGTTTGACAAATTTTGATGGAAATTATATTTTTTCAGGCGGTGCACATTAAATCTCTCGGAAATTGATGTGAGTGACGACTCTGATTTCCATCTTTGTCAGGCCTGCGGTAATGTTTACAAATACTTTGAAGAGTTTGAAGTACATAATAAGCAGGAGCATGATTCAACGGCAAAATGTATGAAAGTTTTAGCGCCTATCGGTGAGACTAAATCAAATAAGATCGAGAACACTATCACATGTCTAGATTGTGGTCTTATCGTACCTTCAAAAAAACATCTTCGCTTTCATATCCACTCGGCTCATCCCACCAAAGATGAAGAAGAGATGGAGCGTGTACTTAAGGACCACGATCTTCAGCCAAAGAAGAAAGGATTCGAATGCAATCAGTGCCATCGCAAAAATTACCACCAACATTTACCGGATGGCCAAATCCTGAAAAAGTATGAATGCGAAATATGCCAGAAAGCTTTCGCAACCAAATCCGAGTATCAAACACATGCACTGACACACTCAAAAGAAAAACCCTTCATGTGCGATCTTTGTGGCAAACGTTTCAAAGTTAAAAACTCATTGTCGAATCATGTCAAGTACACGCACGTGCGGCAGCGGAAATTTGTGTGTATGTACTGTGGGTGGACAGCATGCCGACGCTATAATTTAGATGTACATATCAGGCGACACACTGGCCAAAAACCATTTGCCTGTTCCGTCTGCGGTCGTCGATTTACTCAGAAAAACGATATGCTTAAACATCAAACCCGCCACGAGGGGGAGGGAAAGGTTCTTGATGACTCAATGATGGAAACTTGATTCAATTGTAAAGCCAATGGAAGTTTTATCTGGATATTTGGAATGGGTCTGATATCCATATCCTAAGCTTTTCGTCAAAACATGACTGAAAAAGTGATCCACAAGTTTTTTTGCCCATGTATCAATGGGAAATTTCTCAATGATTGTCAAAATTGCAAATAGGTCAGTGAGAAGCAAGGTTAAACCTGCAAAGGATTTCTGTTCAACCTCTCAAATTTTCATCGACCATGAATTGACTGGATTTTCACCAGAATTCAAGATTGAAACTCTACAGGATGTGAAACCCAGGAACAGTTAGGCGAAACAATTTTACCCACCAATGCTTGACTCTGGAACTTTTATGGAAAACACATGGATATGTTTTCTCTGCTATCCTTTTCCTTAATCTATTGAATTTTTGCAACTGGTAGAACGGAAGGTCCCGGAAATTCTCAACCCTCTCATGGGAACATGAGAGCTCTCAGGTCAATTTTGAACAGCGGCAGGAAAAGCTGTTGTTTTTGTCGTTTTTTGGTTGATTATTGATTAGAAAAGTCAGAATATTTCTTCTTTAAGCTTGTTGACTCCAAAATTTTTTCAACTGAAATTGAACATTCGCCTCTTCAATCAGATATTTTAAGTTGGTTAGGAAACATCATAAATCTAGCTGGTGTCTTCATGAGGTTCTGCTTTCACCTCCAATTAACTGACACGATGCCAGTCATGGGTCGTTTCGGTACCTTTTTTCAATTAGGATCAATACTTCATATTTATTTGTGACTGCAAAACCTAACAAAATCTTACTGTCGAATTTTTTGTTTTATGTATCAAAATAATTCGACCGGAAACCATGTATGTAATTTTTTTTCAACACTGCGTACCGTAACTTGCATCGAGTTTTTGGTGCTGCCTCCTCCAATCCTTCCTTGTTTTGTAAAAAACTTACCATCCAAACTATAATGTTTCTCAGCTTTCAAGACGATGATTTCTCTTCGCTGAAGAACCTATAGCAGCTTTTCATCAATGCAACATCTTCTCAAATTGAATTGCTTTTTAAAAAAAATAAATTAGTTTTTACTTCTATTCGCTGTGATTTTACTTCACCCTGTTCGTGTCAAAGAGACCTTAATGCCAAAAAGTGCATGCCTTTGCTTGGAGTTGTATTCTATGAATATTAGATATATAAAATATGAATAATGTAAGAGTGAAATTAAGCAAGCGCAGAGTCTGTTGGTATTGTGTACAGGGTCTCTACTTATGGCTATAATTTCTTCTAAATTGGTGGATGATTTGTAACTTTTTCTGTGAAACACTAGAACTCTAAACACTAGTGTTTTTGGTAGGAAAATTAAATTACAGAGCTTCAATTCAAATTGACAGAAATCATTTGTCTCTGCCTACTGAAGTCCCTTTTTCTATGAAAGGTTACTCATTGTGTATTCTCGGACAATTTTAAGAAAACGCGGTTGGAAAGCTATATTGTGGAAAGATGAAAACGGAAATTTTGAACTGCTGCTGGGCAGATATACATTTTATCCAGCCATTGAACGTCACAGCCTCTGTCATAGTAGGAGCTTGTCAGCTTCTTAGGTTTTCCATAATACTTTACTTTACTCCTCAGTAATCAGGAATTATTTTGTTTTTTCAGGGAATTGCCTAGGAACGATCCATTAAATGATGTAGGCGTAAAATTTAAGGTGATAGAACCATTAAAGTTGCCAGATTACTCGAATTTTGTGGTTTGTAAACTGTGTGGCGAATGTATTAATACAAGTCAAACACCTATGACTGAGCACGAGAAAACTTCTCATGGAATCAAAAGTAAGAAATCTCTTGTAAAAAGTCTGTCATGCGTTTGCGAGTATTGCGGCAAAGTATTTGCAACTCAGCGAAGAGCGACATATCACAGACGCCATGTACATTTGCAAAATACCAAGGATAACGGTGAACCCAAAGAAAAGATATGTGAAGTCTGTGGTGCAGTGTTGCAATCGTCAAAAAAGTTGAGAGAGCACAGAAGGAACAACCACGTAACTGCTCGAAACTTCCAGTGTGTCGTGTGTTTGATGTGTTTTAAATTGAAAGAAACACTTGTCAGTCATCAAAAGAATGCACACAACGTCTTCGTCGGTGAAAAGTATCAACCCTCATTTCATCGACAGGCCCGTCCTTGTACCATATGTGGTGTAGAATTAGCCTCAAACTTTAGTCTGAGGCGCCATTTGTATATCAAGCATGGACAGAAAATTGACGAGAAATTCTCATTCAAAGTAAAAACCTTTGAGTGTGATCACTGCGATCGTACGTTTAATAATAAAATTTCTTTTCTTCGTCATCGAGATAAAGTTCTTGGGGGCCAATTGGAGAAGAAATTCAAGTGTGAATTTTGTCCAAGAGGATTTTTCTGCCATACAGACTTTATTCGTCACTGCCGCACTCATAAACAAGCGATTTCTTGATATTTTAAATGATAGAAATGTATCTTCAAATGTTACCCAAATGCCAGTCATTGTTGTACTAATACTTGTCATTAAAAAACGGACCCAAAAACTTTCAGAGATAAATCCAAAAACAAAAATCCATCAGAGTTTCTAATAGATGTTGCTTGCGCAATTTAATTGTGTTACTCATTTTACTTTATCTGTTAAGAAACTGACTTATTCATTCCAAAAATTTACTCAGATCCTACAGAAAAGAACTGACTAATAGTTAGTGGACTCAGTTTGTAAAAAAGAGATACTCGAGTTTAATACATCATAAGACTTTCATTTCAGTTTAAAATTTAAGTTTGTATTACTTATTACTTAATATGAATTTAAGATACTATGGAAGCAGTTTTACTCAAATCAGCTCCTACCTCAGCCTGCAGGAAAATTTGGATTTATCTCTTTTTCCAAAGTCCTATCTTATTCTTAGTATGCTTCACTGTCCAAAATCGTCATCCTATATTTCTTAATCTTTTTTTAAATCGTTAAACAGCAGAAGTACCTTCAAAATTTAATTATGAAGTTCAAAAAGATGACATCTTCATTGTCTTAAACTTTTTTCTCAACTTTTCCCTATGAAGGCTGATGTATTAAGTCAAATTCCTCCACAGAAGGGTAGATTTTAGAGTCAATATTGAACGACCTAGATTGATAAAGCATTTCTAGGATAGGGCTTCATTAATCAAGGTATTTTAATAATAATTCATCACCTGCAGGAAAGAGATTTTAGGTTCTAAATACTTCTTTCCTGTAGAAATGAAAAACTCACATCCAGGCGTACAGTCAGATCATTGCATGTTGCTTAAATTCCCCGTATTTTCAATTATTTAACGAAAAACTGTGCAGTAGGTATAATGCCTCAGAGCTGTCCTTGGAATTCTTCTAGAATACGAACATCAAACACCCAAATTTTTGCGGCAGTTGAAAAATAAAGAAATGAATAAAGATTAAGAAAAATAGAATGTGAAAAAAATCAGGCAGCATAAGTTGTAGTCGGGAAAGTTCTACTCAAAAGTCATCGAAGTAATAGGTGCTAACCGAGGTCACTCTAAAAGGCTGTTTGTATAAACACATAATTCAATCATCAGTAAGTCGGAGATAATCTGTAAGTGATAGCATACATCTTGCTTGATTCTTTCTCAAACATCAACTTGTCAGCTTCTCTTGTTCCCTCATTTCGATGTTTGATAGTTGTTGAAATGTTGATGCAACTTTTTGGATGTCCCCTAAACAGTGGAAAAAGGAGCAAAAAGTTGACTAAAAAAAATCAAAATAATAAAAGCTGGTCTAATATTTTCCACCAGACTTCTCAATTGAAGACTTGGTGGTATGATTATACCTCTGTACTATGATCAGATACCTAATAACAGTTAATAGGTAAATTTTGCTTCTCAGTTAGTCGAGGCTTTTATGAGCAAGTTCCTCTATTTTTCGGAAATGACAAGCTGTAAACTGTGAAATATTTTATGGTTTTTTTCACTTTTTCCTTTCATTGTTCTTTTGTGAAATTTTATATTTGTTTTGAAGTAAATAAACTGATGTACAGAGTTTTTCTGAGTGTTCATGTGGTCCTTTTTTTTCAGTTATTAAATACAGTGATTTCATCGCAAAGGTTTCTGTTCATCATCAGATCAGTTGGTTTTTTGGGTGTCTGAAAACCATCAAATGAATGAAATTAACTGCTCCCAAGGTTTTGGTCTTTCTTTTTTAAAGTGTGAGGTACACAAAAGTGACGTGCATAGGTGATGCAGTTTGAGGAAATGCATGTAATTTGACCTTCAGATAAGGCTCCGAAAGGCTACCAATGTGATTCTGGACCAAAATTTTCAATTTATTATATTTCTTTACTCCGTAAAAATATACATTGAGGAAATGGAAATGGAATTTTTGAATTGTTTGCAAATTAAAATTTAGAGTGAATCTTGTGACTCGGGACCAACCACAGATAAAAGGACCTTAGTCAATAAAGTTTCGAAATTAAATTAAGTATTGATACTTACCACGGCATAGAAGGCTAGTGTTCTGCGAACACATTGAGACACCAAACACCCAAAAATATACAACCGAACCCAAGCTGAGGTGTTCTGAAATCAGTTTTTCAAAAAACGTAGTCTCAAGGAAAAGCTGATTAAAATTTTATTATTTGCGCAGCGTAGAAACTTACTGGACTTAGATGCAACTTCACGGCCGCTATTAATACAACAATTTCTAAGTCACTTCCAACTCATTTTTTAGAACGTTAGGAAGCTTTTCCCCCCCCATGATTTGTGGTTTGAAAGAGAGCAGTGGAGGTTAGGAGTCGTAGAGCGCGAGGGAGTGCTGTAAAGCGACTTATATGTATGTATGTATGTAGGAAGCTTTTTTTTTACATTTTCGCTCCCCAAGGGTAGAGGAAGTATTTTTTTTAAAATCTGAAAATTAGATTTTTCGACTCATCTCAACAGAATGCGCTCTGCTGAACGTTAACGTAGGCCCTTTTCTCGTGGACGGTTGCATTTTTTAATTTTTTGAAAAAGGCCATCCATCGGCCATAGGACATTTCGTCAACGATTTTCTGTCCGCGTACCTGTTTTTTCCAGTAGTTTACGTCCACGCGTTTTTTCGGCAGGGAAGATTAATTGGTCCACATGCAAATTCAGATCCAAAGTTATTTGGTCCACATGTAAATACAAACGACAATTGCTCACAACGTTTTTGGATGAAAATGTATAATGTCTCGGAAGAATGAGGGTCTGCTTTTTTTTTGGTTTGTTTGGTCCTGCGGAGAAAAATATGTAATTGATATTTCTTTGTAAAAATGGGGGAGCGTCAATTCCATAAGAGAAAATCCTTTAAAACTCTCTGCGCCTCTTTGATACAACAGGACTTAATTATCTTTCAAGAAAATCCCATCTTGTTATACCTGAACTGGATAAACCTTTTGATTTCCCGCATAGAGCTAATATTCCGCCACGGAAGTGTTGCACAGTATCGTACGAGATTGAAGGAACCCCAACGGATCATGATTGATGCCATCTAAAGCTCGAAGTTCCCTTGTAAATTAAAGCGAGTAGCGACGACAAAAAGAAAGAGGCTGTAGAAAAATTTTTTAAGTTCAAGTATCCGTATTAAGTAACATTCAGCATGATTTTTGAACTTCATTAGAGGAACCAGTGACTTGATTCAAACAGAAATATGCTCAAATTTACCGCAGAGAAGATTTCCTTTTAAATCAATAAAAAAAATGATGATTGTTTAAAGAAGAAGGGGTGCTTATATAAAAAGAAAAGTCGACTATATCAAGCAAAAACCCGCTTTCATTCAGCGATTTTATTCTTGATTCAAAATAAAATATTCTTGACGGCATACTCAAGAATGGTTCTGCCCAAATTGAGTAATTTTTTTTCTCGAATGAAATAAAAAATTCAAGCTAACGGATGCTAGGACGTGGTGAGCTCTAGACTACCGCTCTCACCGTCTGCCGTAGTATTTTGATTTAATTTGCGAAGAAAGCGTTCTCTTAAAAAATGCATTTAATTCTAAATGTGCTGTAGCGCCTTCAATTTCGTGTGATACTGTGCAACACCTCTGTCGTGAAATAGTTGCTCGAAGCGCCGTGGCACGGCGGCGCAGAATGCTGCCAGCGCGGGACGCGCACTGGCGCCTACAAACCTAAACGGATACTTCACGCATTGCGTAATGACTGAAGTATCCACGTAGGTTTGAAGGCGCTAATACGCATTTCGTGCTGGCAGTACGCCACGCTCTGTATTAGGCTCTAATATTTAAACTCGAGGAGTCATCGTTTTTCAACTTATGTTTTTGAAACGTTTGCACACTCTGCATGGATTATTCTCATTTAAATCGATGGAAAAAAAAAAAAAAATGTATTGAAGGAAAATATAACGTGTGTTTTGTAAGTATTAAGGTGGTCCCGTGTCAAATTTAATGATTTCCAAAGCACTCTAATTTTTTCTTTTACATTTTGTACTCAATCTTGACGCTTTGGCTCAGCTATAGCAAATTGTTTACACTTTGACCAATAAAGGGTGGGAAATCATCAATTTTTTATTGAAAAGCCTGCCAAAACCGTTGTAGTGCGCGATTTGAATCACGTAGTGTATTGTGTTTCTTGTGATCGGGCGACTCAAATGTCCCGTAATCAATGTAAAAAAAAAGTTAAAAGTGTAAAGTCAGTTAGAAGTTACTTTCAGTAATTTTCGATGCAAGAATCGTATTCTACGTGAAATTCTGGTTAAGAAACATGTACCTATCAGAATGCTTGAATTCAAATCTTGTCTAGTGGTCCATTGTTGATGTGCCCATTCTTACTCACCAAGAATGTTCCATCAGTCGCCGAGACGATTATAACAACAAACACGATGTATTCTGAAGACCAGAGAGGACTGTAAAGAAGAGAACTCTTTTTCCCGATGCGTCTCCCGGATTCCAGCGTCAATTCGGAGTCGTGAAGGGAGGTGTCACCAGGGTCCTCTTTAAGGGGCCCCCGCCGACTGATAGCGACTCGGTCGAAAATCGATCGTTGCCCGGGCCATATGAAGACGCGAGCCTCGGATTGAAAATAAATAAGATATTTCCCATCGCCATAAAGCCTCGCTCCGTCCGGGCTCCGGGGCCCCGCCGGAAACGGCGAATAGCCAAGTTAGGGGGTCACAACAAAATGGAAGCCCCGTTTCCCCGAGGGACTCGTATTTTACGACCCCCCCCTCCTTCCACTCCTTTCTTCGGGGAACCTTCCGTGACCCCACACCTTCCCGGTTCTTCCTCTTGTTGAGGCTACGCCCGCCGCCCTTCGTGGATCTTATACAATTTTGACAATGCAATTATCTCTTCCGCGATCAAGGATTTCTAGCGTAAAATTAAAAAGTTTTTACTTTTTTTTCATTTGGTGGCCGAAGGGACTTTATTCCATGGAAGCTAAAAATTATGTCATCTATAATGAATGTTGTGCCTTAGTAAAATTGGAAGTACACGGAGAAAAAAACTTTGTGCGTGGGACTCGAAGTTTAGGTCATATGGATCTCTGAAGTTTTCGGATTGAGCATCTGAACACTTAAGGTCCAGCTGCTGAGGTTTGGATCACATATCTGAAACTTCAGTTTCTTACCTACATCTGAAGTACTTCGGTTTTCACATCCGAACAACTTTGGTTCTCTTATCCGAAAAACTTCGGGTTTCACATCTGAATTACTTCAGATGTAAGAACTGGAGTTTCAAATGTGTGATCCGAACCTCGGCAGCTAGACCTGAAGTGTTCAGATGCTCAATCCAAAAACTTCAGAGATCCATATGACCTAAACTTCGGGTCCCACGCACGAGGTTTTTTTCTCCGTGTAGGAGCTGCGTTTCAAAATACAATAGGAATTCTTACAGCCGATCACTGTAGAAGGCGATAGAAAATCATATAGCTGGCTGTAGAAAGCGAAGAAAATCATACACCCAGGCTATACGAGGCGATAAAAAATCATACAGCCGGGCTATTGTTACATAGAAAAAAACGACTTAGTGCTGGTCCCTAACTGTTTAGATCAAATGGAGCCAGCTAATAAGGCAGTGAAGCTGAGCCCTAAAACTCTAGAGTCCAGCCCTTCAGATTGTAGGACTCAGCACTACTGCCTTATTAGTTAGTTCCATTTGATTCAAACCGTTAGGGTTCAGCACTAAGTCGTTTTTCCGTGTTCCTATCCCCGGGCAATGCAGTTTACTCCCTGGCTGTAGTTTTATCACCATTGGCTATAAAAGGCTATAAGAAATTGTTTAGCCTGCTATAGAAGCTAAAGTAAATCTTACAGTCGGCTGCAGGTCTATAGTATTTTGGAACACAAATCCTACAGCCAATTTTTACCGCAGGGTGGAGCGTTCTACAAACTTCTGTAAAGGCAAAATATCTCAACTGTATGTCGAAATGAGATTCTTATAACAGGAGAAGACATAATTCACAGGTTAAATTTTACAAGAATTATTATTTCCTTCATTCTCTGCACTCACTTTTTATGAGCAATTGCAGTTCAATGATTTCGCTGATGATGAATAGTGCGCGCGGGTGAGAAGAATAAAAAAATAACCCGGAAAATTTATCTTGCAAAAATGTCAGACCCATGAAAGTCATAGCGATTTGAAGTTAGTGCTCCAAAAGATGTACCTAATATTGAGAAAAATCATTCAAAAGTTTTTCATTTGAACGTGTTTATGCCAAACGGAACCGTAGGCGAGTGGGAAGTAAGCTGGAGTGTGCTCTAGAAAACTGCATAAGAAACAATGTTAAAGTGGGCATGATATCCTTCGGAGAAATGGAAAAGCGGCATTTTGCATTCTGTCAAACGGAACTATGTGCCAACTGAATGCGGCACTCATGAGCCATGGGCATGTAACAAGAGCGTGGTGGACAGGGCTCATGAGTTAAAGACTCCGAGACGGAGCCCCGGCGGCTTCGTTGCTGCTGACGTCACTGGCGCTTTATAGTTCCCATTCATTCTTATGGCCCGCCTCGACTTACAAAAATGGAGATGTTGCATGTGTGAGAAATTTGCGATTTGACTATTGATTCCTATG